TGTTCCTGTGATGAAAATATTTTTACATGATTTAAAATAAAACAAAGATTTCCATTAAAGACTTGTGATATTTCTGTGCTTTAGATGACAACATGACTCATTCTCATTTCCTCGGAGAGTGAAAGTGCATGTGGCATGTGCCAGTGGTTTTGATTATACTGAAAGGATGGGCACACTGGGACATTATGCATTTATTAGGGATTAGGCTTTCCATGATGCTAATAACTTGAACTGACCAAGACATTTCATGTGTAGTTTATCCACTTTGAGTGCTTCAGATCACAAGGAAATTGCTTTTCATAAGTGTTCAGCCTCTTCCTCTTCACTAGCTAAACATGTTCATGATAGATTTTTAGTTTTACAGCAATCAGTGATGATATACAATGGTATATCGTTATGACCATAACCTCTGACCTTCAGAATGCTTGCCATAACATAAGACTAAAAGCTTTATGTGTGTGTGCAGGGAGGCTGAGAGTCTCTAATACCATCTATGCTAACACTTTACTTCGTAGATGTTCCTAATCCGGCCTCCTGTTAAAAGGTGCTGCTCCCTCCTGGGGACTGCACTGCACATCTCTCTATCACCAGAGCCATCCATCCTCGTGCTTTTCCTCGGCAGCTGCATGCCGGGACGCTGGTAGTTTTTTGAAAAGACTTTGCTCTTTTCCTTCACTGTCAGCATCTTAGAGGACATTTCAGCTCCTATCACCTGCAGCGATGAATGGCACAGAGGGGCCCAACTTCTACGTGCCCATGTCTAATAAGACTGGGGTAGTGCGCAGCCCATTCGAGTATCCGCAGTACTACCTGGCTGAGCCCTGGAAATACTCACTTTTAGCAGCCTACATGTTCTTTCTCATGATCACCGCCTTTCCTATCAACTTCCTCACTCTGACTGTTACTGTCAAACACAAGAAATTGCGGACACCGCTGAATTATGTGCTGCTGAACCTTGCTGTGGCAGACCTCTTCATGGTGGTGGGTGGCTTTACTGTCACATTTTACACCTCTCTGCATGGGTACTTCTCCTTGGGGGTCACAGGGTGCAACATCGAGGGATTCTTTGCCACACTAGGAGGTAAGAGTATGAAAGCAATATGTTTGAAATGTATTCATGGCTCCTTTTCTATTTCAGCAATTGGATGTTGTGTGTTAGGCTCTGGCCTACATGTGTATTGTACGAGTAATGGACAGAGACATTTGGTCTAATTGATCTCATTTTACAGGAGAGATTGCCCTGTGGTCGCTTGTGGTTTTGGCCATTGAGCGCTACATTGTGGTTTGCAAGCCAATGGCCAACTTCCGCTTTGGAGAGAAGCATGCTGTGGCCGGCCTGGCCTTCACCTGGATAATGGCTCTGACTTGTGCTTGCCCACCTCTGCTTGGATGGTCCCGGTATGTGCCCTCTTTCATGCTAAAACAGGGCCACATATGATTTTACGATAATCAAAACCTGGGGGAATTGTTCTGCTTGCTTTGCATTGCTATAAAAAGCTGCAGACAACACAGTCATCATGTTATGTTCTGAAAGAGCTGTTATTAATGTGCTGGTTGGTGCAGGTACATCCCTGAGGGTATGCAGTGCTCCTGTGGGATAGACTACTATACTCCGAAGCCCGAGATCAACAACACCTCATTCGTCATCTATATGTTCATCCTGCACTTCTCCATTCCTCTTATCATCATTTTCTTCTGCTATGGTCGCCTCCTCTGCACCGTGCGCGCGGTAGGAAGCCCCTCTCTCTGTGCCTGATGCAATATTAATAATGGAGAATCTGATCTTTGTTTATCCTTGTTGGTAGATAAATAAATATATATACTTTACCTTGTTCCCTTTCGCATGAAGGTTAGGGCCATCTCTAAGCACAGTCTCTGGAGATGTAAAGGATTTAGTGGCTCAAGGACACTTGAGAAGGGCAGACCACAGCTTAGGGCCTGGCCCTCCGGCTGAAAGCCAGTCTGTCTGCTCTTATGTCATCTTAATACCATCATCATTATCATTTATTATACATATTGCCAGGACATGTTTGTGTATTCTTTGTGTTACTGTCATTAACATTGACAAATGACGCTCTGGTCCTGTTTGAAATCAATAATGGCGTATAACAAAGTTGCCTCTGTGATGACTATTACACCTGCTCCTGATCAATGCTAATGTCTAATGATAGATCTGGCCATTGATCTTTTGCCCTTGTTTGCATTTCTCTATTGGACGTATTTGTTATGTGATTATTCATTCATATTCTGCTTTTATCTTTTGAGTTGTGAGTGACAGGAGTCTAACCCAGTAACTGTGGGGCTCGATTCACTTTGACAACCTTTGTATAAGCGAGCGTTGTTGACTGGTCAGGTCAGGCATTTTGTGCAGCAGAAGAATGTATTCATGATAGTTTCAGAGCACCATCAATTAGGCTCTTCTCTAAATCAATTTGTTCTTTAATGTTTTCTGTTTTTCTGTCAGGGGGCATTTGGTAATATCCTTTTTGTTTTAGTTATAGTTTAGACCTCAGATTAGGTAATTTAAAGGTGCACTGTGTTTGTTTTCTGGTGGAGGGTCCACCATCTGCTTGTCTCCATCAAGATGTTCCACAGTATGGCATTAAACTTATGCAGCTCCATAAAAACAAATATGTGATACCACTAGGCCAAGTTACAAATCCGATTTGTGGAGAGGGAGCCCACTCACAGTACAGATGCATGTTTTTTTAAAGTAATTCTGAACAATAAAAGACCTGTAATTGAATTAATGCAAGTCAGATGACTTAAATGCCATACTGTGGAACATTCACATTACACCTTTAAAATGCTACTGTAGTACTGAGTTTTCTGAAGCGTTGTTAAAAAGAATGATTTCTCTTACCAAACAGACAAATGGTTAATGTGTTTCAGGCTGCAGCCCAACAGCAGGAGTCTGAAACCACCCAGAGGGCAGAGAGGGAGGTCACCCGGATGGTGGTGGCCATGGTCATCTCTTTCCTGGTGTGTTGGGTGCCCTATGCCACTGTGGCCTGGTACATCTTCGCCAACCAGGGAACCGAGTTTGGACCTGGAATCATGACTGCTCCTGCTTTCTTTGCCAAAAGTTCTGCCCTATACAACCCAATAATTTACATCCTCCTCAACAAACAGGTACATATGCTGTCAAATGTATTTTAAGGGTTTGTATACAAAGTGGAAATGTTGGCTTGAAAATTGTCTTAAAAAAGCAATGATTATTTCCTGACTGAAGACACATGTTTTGCTTGTACAAAACAGACAACTTTTGCAATTTTGTAAAAAAAAATAAAATAAATAAAAATTCTGTCAACCCTTCAATAAGGTGACTAGCCATAAAAGCCTTTTGGTACAGAAAAGTATTATTTAAATCAATACTATGCTCAATACTATGCGCCGCTTTTCCCTTTTCTGCCATTTTTCAAGTGTGTGGTAATTTGTTTGATATTTGATAAATCTTTCATATTGTAGCTCCTTCTATAACCCCTTCACATGTCAAGGGAATTGGAATCTCATAGTACAGTGGGTTTTACTCCCTGCTGTGGCTACACTGGCAAATTTAGTCTAATTACAAAAAAAAAGACATGTGTCTCATCTTCATTTTTAATCCTCTGCTCTATTTCACAGTTCAGAAACTGTATGATCACCACTGTGTGCTGGGGAAGGAACCCTTTCGCTGAAGAGGACGCTGGCACAACTGTTTCTAAGACCCAGACTTCCTCAGTGTCCTCCAGTCAGGTGACCCCCGCCTGACCCCCCTTCGCCCCTCCACTTCCCATCTGTCTTGAGCACATGGGACCTACTGTACCCTCCTAGAGCCTGGCAGCACCGCCCTCTTTTGGCCAATCCTCTCGACTTACCTCTGCAAGTCCTCTCAGTGGCACTACTGCACATTTGGTGGGACATACTGACAAAACCAGCATGCAGATTTTCCATTCGTTTAATCATGGGAAGTGTTCAGTTGGCTTCAAAGAGTTTAACCCAGGAACATAAGGGGTGTAGTCCTGGTGCCCATCCAGCTGAACACCATCCAAATCTCCCACTACCATTGAAACTTAATCCTTTAATTTATCAAAGTAATTTTATTCTTCCTTTTCTTTGAATGTATTGTGAGCCCAAAACACTTCACTAAATTAAAATGTTTATTTATTTGAGTAGTGAAATCTCATTCATTATGTAGATTTAGTATTGTCATCGAAATATTTCAATCTTGTTTAGCTATTGTGATCATTATGGCTTATGGTAAAAATAAAATTTAATTCAGTAACAGCCAATCATCCGGTCACATCCCTTTTTAATGTTTTTTTTTTTTTTTTCTGTGACACACCCAGAGTTGGGACTGCCACAAAGAGCACACAGCCCCATGAAACTGCATTACAGAAAACTTAATAAACAATACTTCAGTCAAGTATCATGGGAAGAAAATTCTTGACATATTTTGTGATTTGTGTGTACTAAGAGTTTTAGTACATTACAATGCTAGCCTGTAGTTGCTTGTAGTTTACATTTAATAATAATGATTAGCTGTGACTAGTTAGATACAAAAATGTTGAAAATCTCTTCCCAAATGGGTGTGGGCTTAAAGTGATGAACAAGAACAGCACCTCTACTGGAGGAAGGAGCCTCCTACAACAGAGTGCAACTGTTTACATGTCTGGAGCACATGTGTGAGTTTTATTTGGTATTGAAGGTGACTATTCTTTCCTTTGTTTGTATTAAAGACTTGCCTAAGGTATATTGTAGACGTTGTTCTGTGTTTCCCTCAATAAAAAAGGCTAAACATCAACAATGCGACCTTCCCCTTTCTGCATTTACGAGTGAGTCTGAGAAGTTCCAGATGCTCCAGCTCTGTTAGCTTAAGGATGACAGGAGAGAGAGCTTAATGGTTTTCAAATGTGGTTAAAAAATTGCCCTCCTTTAATGCATTTTGGACATGACAGGAGCTCCGGTACTTAAAAAAAAAAAAAAAAAAAAAAAAAAAAAAAAACACTGTCAGGCTGGGACAGGTTAAAATCCTAAATACTATAATTTATTTCACAAACTTTGACAAGTCATTTGGTGTCACAATAAACATCCTCTCTTCAGATTATATTGACCTCACATTATTTCCATATAATTATGAAAAATTCCCTCTTGTGATTTTTAAAGGCGCACTGTGTAACTTTCCTGGTGGAGGGTCTATCAGCTGGTTGCCTCATGAAGATGGTAATGCTTTGCCTGGGATGCGCCACAGTATTGCATTAAACAATTAATTAATAAACATTTAATTAATTAAACATTTATTCATTTATAGGTGTTTTTATTTCTCAAAACTACTGCGAAGGCTTGTATTCTTACTGTGAGCGGGCCCACTTATCCACAGATCTGACCTGTAACTTGGCCTGGTGATGTAACTTGACCTGCTTGACTCCATGGAGATACTTAAATTAAATCCCATAGATTTAATTTAACTTCATTTAACTAAGATTCATTATCCCATCATAGAACATTCCATGAAAAAACTATAATATCTACACAGAGTCAAGCAGGTGGTGGACCCTCTACCAGAAAAGTTACATCGTGTACCTTTAATCCGAGATGATTTTCGCTTGTTTAACATGGATTAACACATGACAAATGCAGCTCGTCCCATTGAACCACATCACATCCAGACTCATACATTTCAGTGAGGGTCTATGCCCACACGCGAATGATTGATTACTATTCATTCCCTCCTCCTCCGAACCCCATCATCAACCTGCAAAGCACACTTAATATAAAAATACTGTGTAAAAGTCTTAGAGTGGGATTTAAAGGGCCCATATTACACTATTTTCTGATCTATGTTCTAATGGTGTTTCTTCATCAAAAACATACACTGCTCCATTCACACGTTTAACTAAATCACAAACCCTGCATATTTAGGCTTCTGAAACTGAAACTGTTTCAACTTGTGATGTCATGTGGTGATACAGGAACATTCACTGTGTTTTTAAACTGCATACACCTTCACTAGAATGATTTGGATAATTCCAACCCTGGAATTGCCTATCTCTACAAAACAAAAGGTAAAAGGAGCTGTTAATACCGCTTGTGTAAAGCTGTTATTTTATATTGTATTACTTATTTTTCTATTTTATTTTGACTTGTTATGTTATTTGTTAAGTTATTTCATCACCTGTCTCTTGATATCTTTATGCTACTACTTTAGAATTTATTATTACCATTTATATTTTCGCTCTTTGTGATATGTGAGCTACTGTGTGCAAATAATTTCCTTTTGGATCAATTACGTTTGTCTAAGTCTAAGTCTAAGTCTAAGTAAGTCTAAGTTAACTTGAAAACTACCACTACATGACATCTCGAGATGCAACAGACAGACAGGTGAATAAACCATGTGTGAATGAAACAAAAAAACACAACTCCAGGTCTGTTTTTGATGAGGCAACAACATTATAACATGGCTTAAAGCTAAAACAGTCAATTTTACGCGATATAGGACCTTTAAAGCAGGCTGAAATGACTAACAAATGTGTGTCAGTGTTCAAAAGTACATACATAGTTACAAATCAAAAGGAGACAGATGCATTCAAGGCCACTGCCATGGCACTAGTCCTATCTTGCAATGGTAAAGAGCTCAGACCAGGATACGAAGATCTTAAAGTTCAGCGGTATAACCATTTTCTTTACTGATGGTAAAAAAATCAACCAAAACAAATGAGTTCATATGATTAAGTGAAGCTAGTTCCATTAACACTGATAGTAAAAATTTGGTCCTTGGCACATTACTGCTCTATCGGAACATTTTAATTAAAGAAAAATAAATACGTATAGAATTCTTGACCTTGCTAAAACTTTTGCACAGTATTGCATTTTAAAGCACCTATGGAAATGAAAATCGTCAGCAGTCACACCTGAGAACATTGCAGGTTTTAGGAGATGGGAGGAGTTTGTCAAGGTCCTTCTCTGATCCTGATAGACCACTTCAAAGTTATAACACATCTATAAATATTGCTATAGACATTATATTACAGTACAGTGCATCATTGGCTCATTCCCTGTAAGAAGGGCTCAGTGCGTTTTGCCACCAGGGCTTTAGGTCCCAGCAACGCTAAAGACATCCAGAAATAGCATCTTCAAACTCCTCTGATTTGACAGTCAAGCGAAACGGGCATTTTATCTGCTACTTTCACTGGAAAAGATTTGGCAAAAGAAATGACTCCCCGTATGTGAAAACGGCGTACACCTCACTAATAGATGATGCTAGTGAGGCAGTTTTATACCATGTCCTTCCGTTGCTTTTCACACTATTAAAGTCTGTGGCGGTGGAGAGCTGGGAATAATAATGACACTTAGAAAAAGGCTAATCCCTCAGTGGCCAACATTCCCAACGATCCGCTTGGAGAAGAGGAGGAGGAAGTTGGTCTTAGCTCAGAGAGAGACAGAGATGAGATTTCAAGCTTCACTGCAGCATTCGTAGATGTTGTCTTCCACTAAAGCGATGACCTGTTCAAACTTATGGTGAAGCTGTGTGCGGCGGGCTGTGGGGTTGGCCTCCAAAGCGTTCACAACCTTGAGAAACAAAAAAGAATGTATTTATTCATCTGTCATATAGAAAGAAAAGTGAAATTACTCCAAAAAATGGCATTTGATTTGGCTTTAATAAGCGAATAAACAAAAGCAAAAGAGGTAAACCTTGATTATTGTGCTTGTTTATATAAAGATGGATTATGTAACTTTTGAGGTAGAGAGTCCACCTCTTTAGAATATTCCAGGCAAAGCAATAATATCCCCATGGAGACAAAGTATGGCATTTAATGTCCAAACTATCTTTTTATTTCTCAAAAATACCTCTATACTTCCTGCGAGTGGAATAGGCTCTCTACAGATCTGACCTCTAACTTGGCCTTGGCTTTTTCTCCATGGCGTAGATAATTGCACTGTGGGACATATTTTGTACTGAGCAACATTTTTTGGCATAGTAGTAACATCTCTATGAAGACCATCTACTAGAAGTGACTAAGGATTGCCATTATCTAACATGACAATGAAATAAACTACCATTTTCAAATTGTATCAGATGTTTACAGATATTTTGAGGGGCACACTGAGGTTATTTAGCACAGACATACGCATGGAACCATTCACTGTCAAATTCATTTGCAATAAGAAACACTTCAAACATGGCTCCCTCTCCAGAGGGTAAAAATCAGCCATGGGAAAAAACCTTGGAGCGAGCCTGATGCAACAACACAAAACAATGGGTACTTTTGGTGTCTGTCGAGCATTCAAGCGTCGAGGAGAGCGGGTGAAACGTGCTCCAGCCTCTTGCCTTCTTCACGCATGCCTCCACAGCACAAAAGCTCTTCACCGCTTATTTACCAAACCCACGTCCCTGTGTTTTTCAGGCCCAATAGTTGTCATGGTGTCAGTGGGATTTATGGGCTCTTAGCGGCTGCATGCTACTAGGCAGAGAAAGCTGAGTCGAGGCAGGGAGAATAGGCAATCAGGGCCCATTCACACAGCACTGTGAATCAGGCTCTAAGCCCCTGGCCCATGTCTGTACAGTAGCCTGACAGAGGAAGGCAGCTAAATGGTATTATCATGAGGGCTCTCTATTAAGGCACAGTCACCACTGACTAAGCCTCTCTGGAGAATAGTCACAGAACTACAGAGCACAAGAGCGACTGGAGGAGGGGCATCTGGGGCAGAGCAGGGGCTTGACATTAAGCAGCCGAGTGCTGAGTTGAAATTTAATATATGATGATTTCACTCTTATAATACTTGTAGTGCGTCATGCATTTTAGTGCATGTTCTAAAACCTTATATTCATACACTTGCTAAAATCTAGAAACATTTTAGAAAACTAAACTCAGTCGCAGTAGTGATAAAAGTGGCAATCATTATAGCTGAGGTAAAGTCAATGCAAAAAAAAACAAAAACTAAATCCATGTTCTACTTGAATGTTCTACTTCAGTAAAATAATGAATACCAAAGACGCTCCAAACCTGTATACAGTTAGAAACCAAGAAAAGTGAAATATAAGAGTCAGGAAAGGTAACTCTTATCAAAACCCTATATCATATTTGTACTTCTGCTAAAGAAGCTATAACTGAACATGTGGGTTGAAAAGGATCATTGAGCTGATGGGAACAGCGTAGACAAAGCTCCTCTCAGAAACACAGACAGAAAGAAAAATAATGACGTTTTCAGTGCGAACACACCAGCATCTATACTTGAGTGGCACTGAGTTAGAGAGACGATAATCTGAGCTGCTACGTCACGCCCCAATGCCCAGATGAGAAACTTAATACAGCTGTGGGTGCAAGCCGAGATGTTGCAAGTGAAAGGCCAGTTAAGACACATCGTTGTATCACATAAGAGATTTCAGATTGATAAAACTTACCTGGTTTCGGTATCTCTTGGCATATTTGTAGATCTCTGTCACGGCTAGATTGGTGTTGAATTCATTTCTGTATTTCTACAAGAGAAAGTTAAAGAGAAAGTTTAATTTATAATTCTTAGTGCACATGTTTGGTTCGTGCATTGATATATTTATTTAAACTTTTGATTAATGGGACATTCTTTGGATCTTGAGTTTGTTTATGGTCTGGTTAGAGGCTCTAAGATTGAAAGGTGGAATTTGTTTTGGCATAGCAATAACATCTCTATGAAGACAGACAGTTGGCAGACCCTTCACTAGAAAATGTGTGTAGTGCACCTTTGTCCTTCAGGATTAAAGTTACATTATTTAATATGACAATGAAATAAACGTGACATTTTCAACTTGGCTCTATCAGATGTTTACAGACGCTTTGAAACTATGGAACTTCGAGGTTTAGTTGATGCACAGATATATTTATTTAAACTTTATTTTGATTAATTGTATTTTGTTTCTGGGACATGTTGAGTTTGTTTATGGTCTGGTTAGGGGCTCTAAGATTGAAAAATGGAACTTGGATGTAGTCTCCACTTCATTCATTTATTAGTGATGGGACAGCGAGACATTGGATCTTGTGGAAATTGGGTTTTGTCCCGCCCCATTTATGTTTAGTTTTTATTATTCAACAAAAATATAAGTACTTAAAGTTGATTAAAATTACCTGTTTTTAGTTGATGAAAATTTATGTAATTGATTAAGTTGAATTCATTTATTTAGTCATGTGCCAAATTGACAAAAAACTATGATGAAATATTTTAGTCGACAAAATGAACACAAAAAATGCATGTAGAAAATAAAATGTCTATACTTATTACTTACCCTGGACTCCTCTGCCAGATGTGCGTTCATCTCCTGTTCGCTGAGAGGGGGCATCTCCTGTATCTGATTGTAATACCACTGCACTCTCTTCTTGTACTCCGGGATCTCCTTGGCATACAGCAGCTTGTTGGTGGGTGAGTCCTAATGGGAGAATATTGAATGAATTTTAGATTTGATGAAGTGTCCTCTGAGGGTGGATATTAACTCATAACTCATAATCATGATTGCACCTATTCTGTCCTTGAGGTGCAAATGAAGAGAATCATTATGTAGCCAGAAAGCTCTTAATATCAGTGGATTAGAATATTGTGGAAAAGTTACTATCGCTGAAGTTCAATTGTGAAGTTAACCACATTTATTTTATATATTAGCTATTAAGTTTCTAAAATTGCAGTGATTAATGTATCATATTTCCATCTTACAATATTAACAGCTCAAGGTAACACTATAAGCATGGACCTGTAGTACAGAGTAGCCACTTCCACTCTTACTGGAGACATATTGTCTTTTTGTCCATGGTCAAACACAACTCCTGCTCCTTCTTGTTTTTACATTCAGCTTAAAAAGTCTGACTTGTTGACCATGGCACCATTTGATGAAAAAATATGGTTTAAAGTTGCCTATATTACACTATTTTCTGATTATAATGTTGTTTCCTCATCACAAACTTGCCTGGAGTTTTGTTTCTTTCTCACATGTTGAACACACAAACTCTGCAAATTTAGGCTGAGTTCTCTCAAACAAAAAAACACTCTGTCACTTTGTATCTGGTGATACAGCAAGTGCTCCACTGTGTTTTTAAACTCCATAGACCTTCATTATAATCATTTGGATCATTTCAGCACTGGAATTTCCCATTTCTACTGAACAAAAGGTAAAAGGAAAGGAAAACTACCACTTCATGACATTATAGGGTGGAACAGAGCATTTTGAGATTTCAAGACGTAGACAGACTAATAATAAAGAGTTACTCAAACATGTGTGAATGAAAGGTAAAGGTGATAACAACATTATAACATGGCTTAAAGCTCACAAGAGTCAATTTTGTGTAATATAAAACCTATAAAAATTTACTCATTATTATTTTGTTTTTCCCATCTTGTTTGCACTCATTGTTCCCATGACTTAAAACTATCACTAAGAACCCCATGTGACCCCATACAACATTATTCACAACACCATATTACTTTGAAGTAATGAAATAAAATGACTCTTGTGTTTGGTGCTGTATTTCAAATGCTCTGAGACAATAAGAGATGTGGGCAGTTTCCTATAAAGAAGTTTGAGTCAGATTGAATGAATAAACAGTCTAGCTTCTTACCTCGGACACACTCACCACTTTCACTTAAGGCTCTGCAGCTTATTCAAGCAGAACACAAGAGTGGCGAGGCTAAGAGGTTGTGGGCATATTCCTGTTTTAAAGGGACTGTTGACTGTGGGTGTGTGTGGAGGGGGAAAACTAGGACAAGGGAGAGAGGAGACAGGCAGCCTCAGCTCTCAGCATTACCCAATGTGCTTACAGCGTAAATATTCCTACATGTCACGAGTTATTTATGTCACCTATAGTGTGTGGAGAGTGCGCCTGTCTTGTCTGCATTTGTTAATGGTGGATACAATGCAATAGGTACTAGGGCTGCTCCATATCAGGGACATGTAGTAGCTATGTTTAACATCACAAACATACACAGTGTACTTAATATAGAGTATGTACTTTCTGTCTTAACAATTAATTATACAACTTATTTATAGCCATTTACAACTGGAAAATGATTTTGCTACATGCTGCAATGCCCTGCTCTTAATGTGCTTTACATTAGTCCATTATTCATTTACTCTGACCACATGCTGTTACTGGAAAGCTACTTTTATAACCAAATCTGCCCTGGGGCAAAGGGACACAGATGTGGTAGCTATACCATGCCAAAGACCTCTTTGACCGCTACCACATGTGTTCTGTACATACATCATGCTGACACACACAGTGAGTTTGTCAGGAATTATAGTCAATTACAATTATACTTATTATTACTTATTAGTAATTAGTAATTATTAGTTCTTTTCCTTCTTGATTTCTATTCCTTAAAGGTGATATACAAAATTGACTCTTGAGCTTTAAGCCATGTTATAATGTTATCTCCTCAAAAACATACCAGGAGTTGTGTTTTGTTTCATTCACACATGTTTGAGTAACCATGCATCATTAGTCTGGCTACATCTGCAAAGCTCAGAATTTTCTGTTCCACCTTGTGTTGTCATGTAGAGGTAGTATTCAAGTCAACTACCTTTTACCTTTAGTTCAGCACAAATTGGCAATTCCAGGTCTGAAATCATCTAAATTATTCTAGTTTAAAAATGTAGTGGAGGTCTTCCTGTATTACCATTTTTTTCTGTTTGAAAAAAGAGCTCAGGCAAAACATGCAGGGTTTGTGTGTTAAACATGTGTGAATGAAACAAAACACAACTCCAGGTCTGTTTTTGATGAGGAAACAACATTACAACAAAGATCAGAAAATTGAGTAATATGGGCCCTTTAATCAGTTATACTGTTAAAGACTTAGTGGCAGTACTGGTTATGAAAGTGGTAGTACTGAGTATGCATCCATTGTGCAGTCCTGGTAGACCTCCCTTTGTCTGACTGTGTTGGTGCCAGAATGCAGTGGCACAGTCCCTCCTCTCTTCCTGTCCACAAGGTCACTTCCTGCTGTTGGCCCATCTGCCTGGTGACCCCCATGACCCCTCTGTGACCCCTGAGGTACCGCTGAGTGTGCCGCTCTCCAGATAAGAGAGCCAGCTTCGCCTCATTTCCCCTCTCTCCCGCTGTCACCCATGCTGCTCCACCTTAATCCAGACGCTGTACCCTCCCTACACCGGCCTGTCCTGCTACAGTCGAATCATCCTGAAGTGATCAAGGGAAAAATCTTCAGGAAAAAAGGAAATAAAACAAAAACCTTTTGAAATGCTGATTTGATGAATATCACTCTATTACTAATACTTACTAATGCTGCTGAACCATGTATGTTAGTTTTTTTGGATTCATATTAACAATTAATTAATTTATATTTTGTCTCTTATATATACAATAAGTCGTGAGTGAAATTGTCAATGCAAACTTGCAGTTCATACGCTGCTTTTCTTTCTTGGAATTCTGTCATTGTTTAAAAGAGTCAGGGATTATAAGTACTTTTTACTTCAGCCTAAACCCTTTTGGTCATGATCCATGAGGCTGTAGTCTATGTTTTGTTTCATTTTGTTTTGTAGCGCTACAAAATGACTGAATATACTGAAAACACTAATAATAATGAACAAAAAGTTGATTTTGTTATTTAAGATCAGTTACTGAGCCTGACTCATTCCTAATAAACTGTTTTTTCATCATAAATAAAGTAGTTCCTCATGCTTTATTAAGGCTATTAAAAGTCTAGCTATTACAAAGTGTCACTGAGATTTGTCCTGAATATCAAAATCCTTGAACTAAGTTAGTCCAGAGAACAAGCCCAGTCGGACATCACTTTAATGATCTTTAATCTAAAGCCGGGCTACACATATACCGCATTTAATGACTGTTACTGCTGCGATTGCACTGCACCTTTTGGCTCATAACCCCCAAACTTCCCAACTCTGACAGCGTCCTGGTGAAAGAGGAGCGCGCCTGTGTGGCCTCTCTGGGGAAGAAGGAGGTGTATAGAGCCAGTGTCTCAGGGTCACTGTGTTAGACGAATGAGCTGGATTTGTGAGCAGTAAAGGACATTGACATTCAGCCGCACACAGCGAGAGACAGACACGCGTATGCACAAAAGAGATCCCCATGTGCCCGCGACCTTGGATCAGTGCTCTGAAATAACACGAGCAGAGGTAGACTGTCTGAACCGTTTGGGACATTATAGCGTCCGGAAGGGACAGAAATGGAAAAAGTATTATTTTGGCAGATGATGAATGGAAAGATTTGTGGTGTTATTGTTCATTTGTTAAAGGTGTTACATTAGGTAAAATTGACTCTTGTGAGATTTAAGCCATGTTAGAATGTTGTTACGTCCTCAAAAACAGACCTGGAGTTTTATTTTGTGTCATTCACATGTGTTTGAGTAATCCTTTATTATTAGTCTGTCTGCATCTCCAAAGCTCATACTGTGTTCCACCTTGTGATGTCATGAAGCTGTAGTCTTCAAGTTAAGAGCAACCTTTTACCTTTAGTTCAGTAGAGACTGGCAATTCCAGGGTTGAAATGATCCAAATGAGTCTATTGAAAGTGTTTTAAGTGTTTTCTGTTAGGAAGAACTCAGCCTAAATATGTACGATTTGTGTTAAACTACAGAGGTGGGACCAAGTCAATGTTTTGCAAGTCTCATGTAAGTCTCAAGTCTTTGACCTCAAGTTCAAGTTGAGTCTTGAGTCACTGGCCCATAAGTCCAAGTCAAATTCAAGTCATCTGCTTTGAGCTTCAAGTCATTTCAAGTCTTTAAACCAAAGTACCAAATATAGCTTAGATTTCGGGAAGTTATATGAATTTTAAGCTAAATTATACTTAAAAAATCATGGTATATTTATATAAAGTATATGAGTATATTTATATAAGAGATGCTAAATGCTATTTTTTCCTTTTTAAATGTCTTGACATGATAAACAAGAGATATCTTTTAGGAGAAGCGTTAAGTCTTCTCAAGTTACAGGCCTCAAGTCCAAGTACAGTCCCAACTCACTGACCTTCAAATCCAAGTTGAGTTCCAAGTCTTAGTCCATTTTATCAAGTCAAGTCTCAAGTCCTAAAAATAGTGACTCAAGTCTGACTCGCATCCAAGTCATGACTTGCAAGTCCCACCTCTGGTTAAATGTCTGAATGAAAGAAAACACAACTCCATGTATATTTTTGATGAGGAAACAACATTATAATAGATCAGAAAACAGCACAATATGGCCCCTTTAAACATTTAAAACTACACTGTAAACAATGTTATATCACAGACAGCTATTCTCTCTCACTAAGTAAAATTTAGACTCATCAGTTGGCCAACTTAAACATGGTATGATGAGAGGACGCCAAAGACCCCGGAATGAGCACTCACTTGGTAGTGGCCAGATATTATGGGCCTTACTTTGTCAATCATCATGAGCAGGTGGTGCCTATTTGCAGCTGGTATTTGTTTTGATGATGGTTGGATTGACAGGTTTGGCTCACCTTGCCGAGCTGCAGGTCAGAAATGGAGCAGGCGTCTATAAAGGCCTGAGCGATGACAGACAGACAGGCGTCCATGTGGTCCGTCTTGTCAATGTCAAAAACAAACTGTGGATTCTTCAGGATGTTCACCCAGAAGCGAAGAGGTAAACTATAGACACAGGAACAATGACACAGCTAATTAACCACTGCCCTTCCCCTGTGCAATGAGCTAAGCAGACCACATACTATATTTGGTTTGAAGTTTTACCTGTTGGTTTTCCAGATGTGCAGGGTGTCGGGGTCTGTTATCCCTCGTTTATCTGCCTGCTCCTCAAGGAAGTCAAAGAAGTATTTGACAGCCAGAGGTGGGCGGTCCAGAGGGATGCTGAGGATGGCCTGGAAGAGGTCATCCAGGAACTTCTGCAAAGTTCCCTGTGGAGCAGAGACAAGCGGTTCATACATAATACTGCTTTAAATTGACTGAAGTGCTGAGTTGGAACAAAAACAGTGTCCCTGGTTGAACTGGTTGAAGATGTGTTGATTCAGTCATTCATTGATTTATATGTATTTCTGTATTTTTTTTCAGTCATTCAACTACTGAAATAAAGCTCTTCACTATCATACTACTCACTACAGTCAGGACCATAGACTGTATCTATAAATGGATGAATTTGTTGTCCCTTGAACTCCTGTAACTTCTGCAATGAGCCTCGTCATTTTATATAACCTGCTCTACATGATCCTGGTGTTTTATTTCGCCATTTTATTTGTAAATAATTTCCTAATCCTAATATAGAACTCGGCTCCAAATTCACCCTATAACTGTGAGCCTCGTGAGCTTCAGATGACTGTGCATGCTCCCTTAGTCCACTTCTTTATACAGTCTGTGGTTACTACAAAAACAATAGCCTGAAGATGTCCCAACTGTTTGAAGATTGTTATCTTTCCTTCATTCCTCTATTTTATTTATTCTATGTATTTTTGTATTTATTCATCCATTTCTTCAAATAAGACTTTTCACAAACATGGTTCTGTTTAACTGTGCATATGACTGAAAGGTTTTTATTCCGTACTTTTTTCTATTAAGGTTAATTTTGTGATGATTATTTATATTTTGATTTGTTGGCATTGTAATTTTAATGTATTTCTTATTCTGTAAAGCACTTTGAATTACTTTGTGTACAAATTGTGCTATACAAATAAACTTGCCTTGCCACTATTAGTCACTGCTGATTTCCCCAGTGGTATTGAAGGACGGGTCAAATGCAGGGGGCAAATTTTCCTACGCAGACAGTTCAGTCTACCTAACCTTACCTTTATTCCGTAAGTCTTTTATATAACAGCAAAAGCACAAAATGCACAGACATTGGTAAAATATCCCAAAAGCAGATATAATATTTATAGTCCTATTTGCAGGCTTGAGAATAATAACAGGTTTTTGCCTGCCACTTTTTTAGCCCTTTGTGCCTGACTATTCTCAAGTGAGGATAAAAAGAGGTCATATAGAACTAGGGGATGTTTTGATATTTAAGTCTGTAAGCTCTTTGTAGTCACCTTGGTGGACAGGAGGCGTGTCAGATAGATCTCCGGCAGCACTTTCTTATGGTGACTTTGTCTGTGCTTCTTCCTGGTCTCCATGAGCTCGTCGTGAGGTAGGACCTGAAACACAAAAAGGTCATCACACATGTTTAAGCAGAGAAACCAGCCAGGAAAGCTCAACAGCTTCTGCCCGTGAGACGTTAAATGGGAAATTTTGCCTTTGCTTCAACTCTGACACCAACAAAGGGTAAGCCACATTCAATAAGTGGCTTTTAATCACGTTTTTCAATGACTGTGTGATATTAGAATAATTCATGCATGTAATATAAGTGTTTCAGTCAAATATCATGGGGAATGGTCACATTTTTATGTAGCGCTTTAACACCTCCAAGGCACTCAAAGCTCTTTACATCAAGGAGTCACTCACCCATTCACACACACATTCACACGCCATTGACACCATTGACACTGGAAGCGAGGCGGGTTAAGTGTCTTGCCCAACGACATTATTCATCTGTGGGAGTTGGAATCACACTGCCAACCAATGGATCAGTGGATCTGGCCGCTCTACCAATCATGTTTATGTTGAGAATGTGATTCGAACCGCCAATTGTGCTAGAGTAAAATAAGTGTCTAAAAAACTTGTAGAAACATTAATACATTTCTACAGTTAAGTTTTTTTTTAACAAAAACCTATGGGCCTAATTATTATTATTACCATGGAATGACAAAATAACTGTAGTCCACCTGCTGTAGCCCCATTCATTCACTCTGAGTAATGTACAATGACCAATTCACCTTTGCAGATCATTGAGCAGAGGGAGAAAACCCATATTACCACCTGCATGTTTCACACCCACCATTTTCCCTTTATTCTTCAATTTTAAGCTTTATAGAAAATTCAGATCATTTTGGAAAAATATTAATGGTAGTAGGCACAAAACATTATTGCACCAAGCCCTTAGATAACCTGTATATTATCATGCATCTGGCAGGTCTAGCAGAGGTGAGGATAAAAACCGTGCAAAGTCCCCTCAAACTTGTGGTAAAAAAGGAACCAGAAAACTAACTATTCACCCGGCAAATTGTATTCCAAAGAACTCATTATTCTGAAGTCAAAGGGCCCATATCTTTTCTGACGTTTATAAAAGAGCTTAAGCAGCATTAGGGCCGTCATGTCCTCTCAGCAGCTTTCTTTCTCACCTCCGTTCACCTCATTTCTCTGTCGTCAGCCTCTCCTGACTGACTAGTAACAGCATGCACCTAAAAGACTGTAAACTCCAAAATAGCATTATAGTTTAGTAGTAGAAGTAGTAGTAGTATTAGTAGTAGCAGTAGTAGTAGTAGTAGTAGTAGTAATACAGTGTGAATATGCTCAGTATAGTCCATTAATAATATAAGAGCAATTCTACGAGCTTCACACGCAGAGACTTTCCTTTGTATTTGGTTTTATCATTGAAAAATAATTGCTAAAGTATTGGTTATTTATAATTCTGGGAGGATCAATCAGTTGGCTTGGGTTGGTTTAAAGATACGCTGTGCAACTTTTCTGGTGGAGGTTTTCCCATCTGCTTGTCTCCATGGAGATGTTGTTGCTTTGTCTGGAATGTTCCTGGCATTACATATACTGTATCCATCGTGCATTTGCTCAATAACATGTTTTTTTTATTGACTTAAAACTTGCATTATTACTGTGAGTGGGCTCGCCTCTCCATAGATTTGACATGTAACTTGGCCCTACGGCGTCACTTGCTGTCTCCGTAGAGATAAATAAGTGTAATGATATCTTGTGGAACATTCCAGGCAACATCTCTGTGGAGAAAAGCTGGTGATGATCCTCCACCAAAAGTTACACAGTGCACTTTTAAAATAGTAACATTGGTGGATAAACACGTTTCTTTAACTAATGCTGGACACTGTGCGATATTTTCGATCATTTCACTCAGCCCCAGCTCAAACTGTATGACCAAATAGTAGGGTTTAAGTTCACAGCTCACGATTCATGTTATCACACTAGACGAACGACTTCAACAGAGCAAAACCCTAACGAGAGGCGACTGAATTTCAAAAAGGTTTGATATTCTTGTGACCTACGATTGTTTATCGGGAGCTGGTCCTGAGGTATTAATCGGTTTGCGTTACCCTATGTATACTACATGAAGCACAACACACGATTAAGCCAAAAATCAATCCGATCCCAAAAACTGTCGCCCAAGTGAAAAATCGTCTCAAAAAGGGTCAAAAATCGCACAATGTATACCCGACTTAAGGTTTTCCTAACAACATAACCTTCTTATCTTATCTTGACTTGCATTAGCACAGAGATAGTAGTGGCTTTTGACCCTTATAGTGACTGAGACACAATACAGGGCAGCTGTGACAGGTTGCTTGCCACCACCAGCGTGTGAATGCGTGCTTTGTGTGCTAAAAAATATTTAGACCCAGCCAGAACTCATTGTCCATTTGTGTAAAAAACAAAACAAAACATGGAAATAAACAGGGAATAAACAACATAAAGGACTGAGAAATACTACAGATTTTTGCAGACTCAACAATCAAAGCACCAAAACTGTTATTTATCTCAGGTAAAAGAAGTTATATACAGTATTTTGTTGTGAATGATGTGGGAATTTTGGAGAGGAGATGTCTTCGGCATTTGAGAGACACATGCTACAAATTAGCAGCTGTGGTTGGATCATCTCAAATTAGAATGGAGGATTTTCACCCTCTATTCTCTATTGTAGAAGGGACTGGCTGGTCAGGCAATGTTTACCCAGGCTTTACAGTAGTTTCTGACCTCAAACAATTAAATATAACATAATAATCATAAAAATATCATTATTAACAATAGCTTGTTTAGGGTTATTATCAACTGTAAGTATGAATTTAAATTTATGGAGAAGGATGAACAGAAACTCTCAATTTTGTTTGCACGCTGTACACAAGTGAAGGCCCTCAACCATGTAATTAGAAAAAAAAACACGTCTGATTGTGGTACTCACCAAGTGCACATACTTTTCCGTATCCAGATCTTTCACTAGAAAAGACACAAAAATACAGTGTGTAAAACAATGTGCAATCAGCGAGGTGGAGACTAAAGGGACACGAGGGGGCAGAGGTGTATGTGACAGATAGGCCAGGGGAAAAACAAGGCAGAGATTGACAGGCGAGCAAGAGGAAGAGATAGAGAGAGAGTGATTATGGTGGATGGGGCAGTGTGGAGGAGGAGGGGGTGGGGGTATGTTGGGGAGATTAGCAGAGGCAGAGACAGAGGCCATGAGTGGTTCTGGAGCCGCTCTAATGAGATGGTAATACGCAGCCAGTGTTTGCAAATGGCATTAAACTGCGCTGGTTTACATGTGATACTAAACATAAACACATCACTACATACACACACAGGTGGATAGAGATTTTTCATGCTGGGTATATTTGTATTCAAGGGTTTCTGCTTCCTGTTTTCTAAGAAGTGATACTGAGGACTTATTCGCCCATTCAAAAGAGGTAATATTTCGTTTCAAATTGCTATGGTAACAGTGCTTGAGTTTCATCACTTTTAAATCCATGGATAGACTGATGTGTTATATATTCTGTGATACAAGTTTGTCGTCCTGAAATGTCTCTGATACTTCAACTTCTCTGATCTGGGTCTCTGATACTTAATATTGATCAAGATAGTTAGTGTCTAGACATAAAGCATTCAAATGAATTTAAAACACACATTGGTCACCCACAACTGTATTAAAATATATAAGCCTATAAGTCTGTATGATGTCAATTATGTGTAATGTTTTATTTAAAGGGGCAATATTACTCTATTTTTTGATTAACATTTTTTTATGTTAATGTTGTTTCCTCATTACAAACAGACCTGAAGTTGTGTTTTGTTTCATTCACACATGTTTAACACACAAACCCTGAATACCTACGCTGAGTTCTCTCAAACAGAAACCCTTTGTTCCACCTTATGATGCCATGTGGTAATATAGGAAGTGCTCCATTGTGTTTTTAAACTCCGTATACCTTCACTAGAATAATTTGGATAATTTCAGTCCTGGAATTGCCAATCTCTACTGAGCTAAAGATAAAAGGCAGCTGTTAACTTGATAACTACAGTTTCATGACATCACAAGGTGGAACAGAGCATTTCAAGCTTTGGAGATGGAGGCAGACTAATAATAAAGGGTTACTTGAATGTCTGAATGAAATAAAGCACAACTCCAGGTATGGTTTTGAGGAAGTAATAACATTATAACATGGCTTAACACTCACTAAAGTCAATTTCATTCTAAAAATATTAATCACATAAGGTGTCATTATCTCTTAATCACATTGTAGTTCACTCACAAAAGTCTCACTCCTCTTCATTTAAAGTTCAGAATATAGGCTCCAAACTTGGTATCAAATTGCATGTGGGAAATTGGTCTAATTTTCTTTTTAGAGGCAGCTGCTTATAGAATTTAAAAGTAGCTGGCAGTTGCAGGATCAGAAAACGCTGGGAGACCAATTTTGGCATGTTGAAAATTCCATGATAGCGATAATGATAGATTTTATTACCATAGAGAAAAAGGATGTATACGGCCATACTACACTGGCACAAATCCTTAAATTACACCGTGTATAGGTGAAAATACAGATTATTGTACAGTGACAAAGCTATAGAAAACAATGTCAGATACTTGTCCAGCTTTCACACAGATACTCATGTGTTCTCATTACAGACAGCGTTGCCAGAGATGCTCAGCCCAGCGGGCCTCAGTCCAGCCCCTCAGCACTCATCACAGCGCGTACACTGTTTCACATTAGCCAGGGAGCACTACAGCCACATAACACCCCTTGATGCTTTGAAGCCAGTGCCAGGGTTTGGTCCATAAGCCTATTCCTGGCACTGGGTGAATGGCTTTGATGGACATAGACTGTGCAGGATACTGCTCTGCTCTAGTACTGATTATAAAATGGAGGAAGCATGGCCAATGAGTGGACGAGGAAATTATGAAAGAATCTATGTGCACTCGTTTTTAACTCTGACCTTGACCAAACGATCACTTATTAAAACTAAATGTATATTCAGATTTCACTTATCATTATATTTTACATATTTAATTAATGAACGTCGTACTAATGTCATCATGTGATTGCTTTGCCTGAAATGTGTCTCAGTATATAAAATTTCGTATCACACATTTTTTCAGTTCTTCATGTTTTCATTGCTAAAAAATACATAGTTTGGTGGAGGTCACCTGCTTGTGTCCCTGGAGATTTATAACATACGCCAATTTGTGGAACATTCTAGACATAAAAATAACTTCTCCAAGGTAAATCGATGGTTTCCAGCCCTGCACCTAAAACTTACATTCTAAACTATATTAAAACTTTCAACTTTGGAAACATTGGTTGCTTTTTACATTTTACAATGATCAATACAAAATGTCCACAGGGGCTATCACATTCTCTTAGAAAAACATTTGTCGCTGTAAAGGCCAGCCCACTCGGCCTGCTCAAGTCTATAATACATGTATGTGCTCCAGACAGTGGGGACAGTGGAAGGTTACAGTTACACGTCCTGCCTGCTGAGCCCTCAACAGACAGAGCTGCTTCTTTAATATCTTAATTAGGATTAGGATTTGAGTTTAAACATGACAGAAAAAATTCAAAAAATATTGGAGCAAGTAATATGATGGTGTCTATATTTCAGAACAATGTGAAAGTGATTCCTGAAAGAGTTTTGCATATTTATTCAGCCCATACTCGCTATATAAATGGACATAGCTATCCTGTTAGCAGCCACTTTCCAAATAGGAAGGACAGTGAGCATGGGGGCGCTTCTGGCTCCATTGACTCTGGCTTCAATTGACATTACACAAAATTGTCACCCCTCTCTCTGTAACTGCTGCTGTGAGCCTCGTCATTTTGGTCTTAAAATGTTCGAATTAACCCACTCAATATGATCCTGGTGTTTCTATTTCACTATTTTGTATGTAAATAAATTCCTCTGCCTAACATGGAACTCAGCTCTGAATCCGCTCCAATAATCACTAGCCTCGTGAGCTTCATTTGGCTCAATCTGAACTCTATGGAGCAACGTCACACTCTCTTAGTCCACTTCTTTATACACTCTAATATTCAGCCTTAGGATTCTCCAAATATGTGAACAAAACACAACACAATTCCACTTTCGTCTTCATGTTTCAGTGGGGTCAGATCTTGGTAAAAATCTGAGAAAAGCTGAGTTTGGCTATTATTCTCTTTTTAACACATTTAATGCATGTCTTTGCTTCTAATAACATGCAGCTCGAATATGTAACCATCTGTCAACAAGATCAACAAGCCATTTTTGCATTCACAGTCGTGTCTGGACATTGGGCCGAGTTAAGTGGCATTTTTCCCTAGCAGCTGACATTTGCTAATGGAATACATCTATAACGCAGAGAAGGAGGCTCGGTGGCAGCTCTCCCTGTGAGACGTGTGACTATGTGTGGTGATTTATTAGCTTAGATGTGAGCTTTGTGTTTTGGGGCAAGGGGGGGCTCACGGTTCCTAGCTTGTTTACATGGATGTATCATGTTCTACTGATGAACAGACCATGTGCCCTATACTGTGATGGAGGGGGTGGCATTTATTCAAGGGCAGCCCAAGTGTGTGTGACAAAGTGACTGCCGGCGCTTGTGTTTATGTGAAGGTTGTGGAACGTACCTCTGCCCAGCGTGTTTTCTTTCTTGTCTTGCATGCTCATGGCTAGTGATGCCCCCTCTGGGATCTGCGGAGTGGAGGAGAGAAGGTAGAGGGCAGGAGGTCAAAGGTTAGTTGGGGTATATCACATCAAATGCCCTCTAGGGGGTGGTAGTGATGAGAGTTTCATATGTTTGGTCAATTGGTGCGAATCAGTGATAGTGGCGGTAACTCAGCAGGAGACTGACCCGGATCATTTAAGTTGTATTGCGGTGAAATGGATTGAGCAGGTCTTCACCATTTGTTTTGTCAAGATTAACTCCAGATTTAGTCTTGTTTTTGTAGTTTAAGGTGTACTTATCAGCGGGCTTGCCTCCCCACATATTGGACCAGTCATTTGGCCAAGTGGTATCATCCATTTGTCTCCATGATGATAGATAAGCAAATAACATCTCCTTGTAAACATAAAGGCAACATTCCCCTAGGGTTTGAAGCTAACTGAAAGCACTGCTCCATCTGAAGTTCTTTTACTCAAGTTAAACTTAATCTGAACTTTATTTTAACACAACCTGACCAGAAAGAGCTGACTTAGGTTACGTTTACACTGAAACGAATCAATGTATCACCATATTGGAAACTATTTGTGTCCAGATACGTTGTTTCTGTGTCCGCAAACCTTCCCTATCCTCACAGCTTTGCTCATATTTGTTTATGTTTTACAGAAACGAAACTTAAAACCACACGGATAATTTGCATGAACTAAGCGCTCAAAAAACAGCTCGCTATAGTGTGCTGATGCGGTTCAGCTTCTGTCAGACTAAAGGACACAACTCAGTGGATTATATGCGTTCTTTCTGTGACAGATTAGTGAGTGTTCTGTGCTTCTATCGTGTTGGAGATGGTTCATATTAAACTTTTCAGAGATTGTATGTCTGCAGGTTATACGCAAAAACTGTTTATATGAATGGACATATACTGTAGCCTCTTAGCGTTTTGGCAGTCAATTATCTCATGGTGCATAGATCTACATCAGCGTATCAGCATTTTCAGGTATCTACACGCTGCCAGATCGGATCTGTACTCAGACGAATTCTTGGGAACAGGCGGCACCAGATCGTTCCGTCTCTGGAGCCATTTTCCATCGGATTAGTGTGGACGAACACTGCATCCGCCACGATGTACTAATGTGGATGGGGCCTAAATTAACTTACAGTGGCAAGATAGCATTTGCCAACAGCTTTTCAGTTAGTCACTCTCACATTTTTGTTAAAAAGCTACCCAAATAGGACCATGACTGGTTGTACTGATCACAGACTCCTAATAATGTGCTGTTTAAATTCATTTTGTATTTTTTCTTGAGCTTTCAGACCATCCTAAAACTTTTTTTTTGTGCACAGTATCACCGTAGTAACTGCATGAACACCCCCAGCGTAAACTGCCAAGTATCAATATCCTCTACTTAAAAAATGACATAGTGCACCTTGAGGTCCTGTTTTCGAACCAGTTCAATCCATTAAATGTTCTGGTTAAGGTTGCTTAATGGGATTTGGTTTAAATCTCACTTTGACCTGGATTTGCCCTAGTTTTGTCCTGGTTTTGTCCTGGTCTTTGTATCCTGTTTTAACTAGTCTTTGTATAGAAGAGTCATCTGAGGTCCATCACTACAAATGGCCTCTAGGGGGTGCAGCTATTAGTGATGAGGGATGCATATGTTTGTCTATTGGCAGGAGACAAACTTGGCTCATTAAAGTTGAGCCTCGGTGAAATGGATGGAGCAGCCTTTTCCAGTGAACCCAAGTCTGTTAGTATACGCCGCGCCTCATCGGTTTCACAGCTCTAGTCCCAAGGAGCAGCTTAAACTAAACAGAGCACTTAGCGAGTACAGGTAATGGGGCAAAGGTCAGAGGTCAACTAATGTCTGTTTACTCATGTGCAAATGAATGGGACATAAGCAAACACACATAATTATGTCCTCAAAGGAAAGCAATAACAAAACGCTTGGACAGGGTTTATTTTGTTTCATAAAAAATGTGGTAATTTCACTGCTGGTTAGGGGGTTGGCCATATGGTTTTCTATAAATAACTGACTAATACAGCAGTTAAAATATTTGGGAATTTAAAGTTAATTCACATTTTACATTTCTTTGGGTTGTTCAGAACTAGTTCATGTCAGACCTGAAATAGTCCACTTGTAGACTTGGCTTTGGCAGTATTCATATGTTGGAGTGGTGTACTTGGTGTGAAAAGTTTGAGGACCACTGGACTAATTAAGTGGAAATCAAATACAAATATGTTATACTATTAATTTAAATATGTATGATTTTTAAGGTGCATTGTGTAACTTTTCTGGTGAAGGGTCCATCAAAAGCTTTTCCTGATGTTATTACTTTGTCTGAAATGCTTCACATTTTGGTATTAAGTTTTTCTATCTTTATGGAGACCAAACCAGAAGGGGTGTGCATTGCATTGAGTCTGACGATACAATACATATCATCATATGCATGTCACAATTCGATATATCCCGATACTAAAACATAGGATGATATATTGCAATTTATCAATAATTACTTCTACAGTCAACTACACCTTCACGAGAAGATAATTGTATGAATTTATAAAAATGTTTAAATCATCATAACAATGAATATAAATAATGAATTTATGTGAAAAATATTATTTTAAAAATCGATTCAGATGCATTTTGAATCGATTTGGGTATCAGTATCACGATATATCACTGAATCGATTTTTTCTTACACTCCTAGATCGATGGAGAGGTGACCCCGCTCACAGTCAGGACGCCTGTTTTCCTAGGTATTATTGAGCTGTTTAATGTCATAGTGCGGAACATTCCAGGAAGAATAATGACATATCCATAGAAACAAACAACCAAAAAGTTACATAGTGCACCTTTACAAATTAATGTTATGTAGTGATACATTTTTTTTTTTTTTTTTTGCATAATTATGTACATATATATTTTCTATGTTTAGCCAGGCTTGGGTTGTCCACGGCGATTTAACTGTCTGTTAACGCCTAAACATTGTTGTAATCCATACTACATGTGGAGTTTCCAGAGAATCCATGTAACTGATCATAATTTGTAATATCTGAAACTGACTGTAAGTATAAATAGCCTTTTCTTTGCCATTGTCTTGTGTGTCGGAGCACAATCAGCTTATAGACTGGTCTGGACCTCGTATAAAGCGCCGGTGAAAGTGGAGCCAGCCCACCTACAGAGGACACCATTTACAAGGAGTTCTCACCTTAAACCACCCGCTGCTGCTGTTAGATTGTCAGGATATACAGACACACAACAGATGACAGCCACCACCTCGGAGACCTCACACACACGCACACATCTACTCACGCGCGCACACACACATTTATTCACACACATAGTTATTCACACCTGGTAATGGAAGACTGTGTTGAGCTTCTTCCTGCCATCCTCCATCACTGACGAGTTGTCCAGGTCCTGCAGAAGTCGACTGTTGCTACCGGAGTCGAACCACTCTGAGTGACAGGCAGAAGTGTGGAGAAAGTGTAAGAAAATGAGAAGGGTATGGCAATATAGAGAACTACTTGTATAGTATTTCACAAAATTGAAGAAAATGTATGCTCAAATATTTATTAACATTATTAAACGAGAAGCAGAAATGGCATTAAAGGGCCCAGATTACGCTATTTTCTGACATTTATTATAATGTTGTTTCCTCATCAATATCCTATCCAGAGTTGTGTTTTGTTTCACTCACACGTTTATTTATTGTATTTAGGCTGAGTTATTTTCTCTCAAACAGAAAACACTCTGTGGTAATACAGGAAGTGCTCCACTGTGTTTTATAAACTTCATACATTTTTAGAAGAATCTTTTGGATGATTTCAGCCATGGAATTGCAAATCTCTACTGAGCTAAAGGTAAAAGATAGCTGTTGATTGTTGAAAAGTACTGTTTCATGACATCACAAGGTGGAATAGAGCATTTTGAGCTTTGGGGATGCAGACAGACTAATAAATAAACCAGGATTATTCTTTGTCTAAATGAAACAAATCACAACTCCGAGTATGTTTTAGATGAGGTAACAACATTTTAACATGGCTTAAAGCTCCCAAGAGTCCATTTTGTGTAATATAGGACCTTTAACTATGAATGATTACATCAAAATATACCATGCACTTCCTGTCCAGACACTCTCAATAGGGGGGTAAAGGAAAGGTACCAAAAGTACATTGTCTTATCCTCTGCAGTGGATTTTTAATCTGAGCTGAGCCACTGAAACAAATGTATCACATATCATTTTCTATAAATAATTTCATCCTAAATTTGTGACTAAGTAGAGAGAAACAGTGAGAAGCAGTCGAGCACTAACTGTCTGTGCCACGACCTGTAGAAATATTCCCTGGCCATTAATCAAATCAGCTCTGGGGCTCCACGGATTTTGAAAGCAATAACTCTTTGTGATTATGACTGTACACCCTCCTCAATGTATTCTGTCATTTATTATATTGCTGCCTCGGGTTAGTTGAGCATCATGAGGGGAATTGACCTTTTGCAAAAGAAGATTACTATATCTCATACAAGGTGGCCGAAGAGGAAGGATGAAAATAATCAGGGGAAATGTCCGCTCCCTCTTACCCAGGTCCACGTCCTCCGCTCGGGGCCACTGTGAGAATGGCAGGTTTTTATAAAAGGCCTCTATGATTTTTTCCTTCACTTGGCAGATTGTGTCTGTGTTCATGACCCTGACAGATAGAGAGTCCATGCCGCAGCCCTGGAAAGATACATTGATGTTCTGCAAAACAAAAGAAAAGTAAGTAAATATAACTTATCAACTGCCATGGTTACTTTGAGGTGCACTAATTATGCATTATGACCCTGAGAGGTGAAAATTAGGTTTCCTTTCATGAATCCATCTGTCAGTGGGAGGGTATATTAATAGTGTAAGCCTAACACTATTGAGAAAGGCGAGAAAGAGACAAATCTCTCACAGTGGCTACATTAAATGATGTGTTAGTGCCATATGAACCATCTTGCACTCAGAGGACCCCAGGGACAGGCCTCCTACTGGTGCCCAGAGCCAGGACTAAACATGGGGAGTCAGCATTTCAGTTTTATGCAGCTAAAATCTGGAACAGCCTTCCTAAAGATGTGAGACAAGAGACTTCACTTTGACTATGTTTAAATCCAGGCCATAGACTGTATAAAGTGGACTAAGAGAGTGTGACAGGCTCTATATTAGGAATAGGATTTTACTAATGGACAAATAACTCTTTTAATTAAATTTTATGATTATTTATGTTTTGGTGTGTTTGTATTGTGACTTTAATGTCTTTCTTATTCTGTAATGCACTTTGAATTACTTTGTGTAGGAATTGTGCTATACAAATAAACCTGCCTTCCCTAAACACATAACAAAAACCACTTCCACACCTGCCCATGTGTTAAAAACTGAAAAAAGTAAAAGACAAACTGGAAATAACTGTATTTTGGCTCTGAAAGTCCATTAATCAACTGACACATCCACGGCCCATTACTGATCTTTAGAATCGAGCAAAACAAGCCTAATTGTGTGTGTTATGAACCATTAGTGCTGTTAAATGAATAATCCTCAGTCTGGCGTTGGCGGGTGATGGTCAGTGTGTGACTGTGGTGAGTCTGACCTGCGGCTTGGCCTCAATATTCTCTCGGAGTAGCCATTCCTCGTTGAGGGTGTAGCGCGCCTTCCCTGTGATGGCGTCTATGGAGCCCTTGTTGATCTGCTGCTTGATTGCACAGAGCAGCAGGAAGAAAGGCTCACCCACTGTTTCCTGTGAAATGTGGACAAATGGGCAAAAGCTCAGATATGTGGAGGAATTTATGAAAGTATGTTAAAGCTAGAGATTGAAGTACATATACTTAAATTACTGTGGTTAGGAGCAATTTTACAGTAATTTGGGGAAATCTTAGTACACTTTGGGACAGAAGTGTTACCTTTTAAACTTACTGATAATTCATTATTTTTTGCCACTTTAATTTTGTATGCCACATGATCTTGTATTGTATTCCTAATTATTATGTAATTGTTTTTAACTTTGACATTTTTACTTACCATAGCAATTTGAGTACTATTTAAAATGCAATATAAATAAAATATATTAATATTATTATTTTGGAAAAGTGTTTGCTTTAGGCATTTAAAAAAAACATTAGCTAATAAACCTAGTCCACAGTTAATTAATTTGCATTTTTTAAGTTTTCAACCTCTGCTGAAAAATGCACTAACCTTGAGGTAGCTATACATGCATATAGACATCCAATTTGTCAACATTTTCTCCACGACAGACTCTGTTCTACGAAGCATCAGTTTTGGATTTTTGGAAGCCGAGGCATCAATCAAATCCACGAGCAGGTCCTTCATGATACTGGTGTAGTACTCGAGTTTACCATGAAGGGCGATGGTAAGCAGAGAGGCCAAGCTGCATCTGGAAAGAGTGAGATAGAGAATTATGTGACCATTGAGAGAAAACCCACTCTTACAAACATGCCCTGACAGTGTGTGGTCAGTGGAGATTTTAAAATAACACCAGCTCGGAGTCGTCCCGGTTGCACCTGTGACAGAGGCCAAAAACAGCCCTGATGTAATGCAGGGAGTGAGTGGGTGAGGCGGGCCAGAGGTGTGGGGGATTTCCCTCACAAAGTCCAGTGTAATCCACCGCAAACAGGCTGCATCAATCAGGAAGTGCTGACTCCAGGGATGGGACCAGGATGTGGCGTTCAGTGGGAATTTTTCTCTGGTCTTTAAGTGGATCTCCATAGTGACACAATGAATAGACTATTATTATTTACTACAGGGATGTTTTAAGTGATGCTTTAAATAACATACTGTGTCGACTTTGCACTTATACATACAGCCAGGCCACCTGGAGAATGCCCGATCTTGGAAGCTAAGCAGAATTGGGCCTTGTTAGTACTTGGATGGGAGACTGCTGGGAATACCAGGTGGAGCTCTTACGCATATCATATCAGTCATTGTGTCCTTAGGCAACACACTTCATCTACTTTTGTCTATGTATGAATGTTGTGTGTGAGTGATTGAATAAAGCCTTGTGAAGCACTTTGGGTGTCTTGAAAAGTGCTGTAAATATTCAGTGCTAGGGCTGGGTATCATTAAGAAGTTAACAATAAGATACATACCTCGATACGTAGGCCACGATACGATACATATCTCAATGCAGTGCACTTTCAATTCGATACAATATATTTCAAATCAATTTGATACAGTTCCATAAAAAAATAAAGGCTAAATCATGGCTGTGATACTAAAAGTCTTTGTTAAACCACTTATTTTAGTTTATATGAAACATGCCCATTTTACTCAGCAAAACAGTGAAAATGTCAAATGTGTTGCATAAATGAGTTTCCTTTCTCTAAACAAGCAACAAAACTGAATCACTGTAACAAAATAATTGAATAAAATATACCAAATAATAATCTTGGCAATATATCGATAGAGCAGCCCATGATATCAATACTGTATCATCACATTAAAGGATATGATATATTGATATTTCGATATTTTTGCACACCCCTATTCAATGCATTATTATTAAATACAAACCACAACCCATAGAATAAATTAAAACATAACCCAGTATATTAGGCATTAGATAATATTAAATGTTCTATATTACCATCTATCTCTATTATAAAAATGCTCTGTTGCACCTTGTGATGTCATGTACTGGTATAACAACTACCTTTTACTTTTAGTTCAGTAGAAGTTGGCAATTCCAGGGCTGAAACTATCCAAATGGCTGTATCTCAGGTGTATGGAGTATAAAACACAGTGGAGCATTTCCTGCATTACCACTTGACATTACACCACATTACCAACAAGTGGAACAGTGTGTTTTCAGTTTGAAAGAAGAACTCAGACTAAATATGCAGGGTTTGTGTGTTAAACATGTGTGAATGGAACAAAACACAACTTCAGGAATGTTTTTGATGGGGACACGACATCAAAACATAGAGCAGAAAATAGTGTATGTGGCCTGACAATGACAGAGGAGAGGCGAGTGATGATGCACAGCTGGACATTGTAGTTTATAGTTTTGACTTTTACCTGTCCCGAACGGCAAAGTCCTTCTGCTGCTCCAGCGCGTGGACAAAAGTGACGAGGAAGTGCTTATTGTTCAGGAGAGTGGAGAACAGTGCAATGCCCTCCTCTATGTTCGGTTTTGTGGAGTTGTTAGACTGTGGAAAGATAAAGATAAACACAGTCATTTTCTTTTATCACTGTATCGCAAATGCATTACAGTAGTTTGGGTGAAACTGTTTGCACTTAACCAGAGAACATTTTGTTTTCTATGTCACAATTTTAACAGAGATGAAGACTTTAAGGGCGCAAATGGGACTGACGAGGACTCAATATGAACTTTAAGTGGGTACCCAGTGATGTCAAAATGAGGCCACTGTGTGCTGTCTGCATCTGATTACAAAGCATTTATTGTCCAAGAATCAGCAAATGAGCTGTTAGCATGCTAGCTGTTGTTGGCAAAACTCCGCTCTAGCCTCTGAAAGCTGTGAAAAGCATTTGAATACTCATCACAGTGAATCATTGGGGTGTTTGGAATGCATAAGGTAAGTCGACCACTACAGACCATTCAAAATGAATTCGTTTTCATGGTTTAAAGGCCAAAAAAAAAAAAAATCAGGCACAGTGGGCCCAGACTAAACATGAACGAATCAAAGGCAGAATCAGAAATAAACGTGCTAAATCTGTGGTTACACTTCAACCAAGCCAAAACTGAACTGGGACTACACAATTTCCAAATCAGGACTAAACAAAACTTCCAATTTTGCAACTACACACAACCAGAGCCGATACCGATACTAGTATAAAATACCAGCATCAATACTGAAAACTGAGTATCAGTTCAGTAGATATCCTGGCCTGACCTTTAAGTAGATGTAACAAGATTATTTGCAGGCTGTTTTTAAAGCGTCTCATAATTTTTGAATTTTTATTCATATGTAATGGTTCTGTAATGATGTGAAGGATAAATAATAGTTACATAACACAACTGGATCTCTTGTGTAATAAGATAACTGTGTTGTAAGGAAACTGTACCATTTTCTGTCCCTACATAGGTATCACTGAATAGCAAATATCAGATAAAGCCAGACATGTCAAATTGAGGCCCGGGGGCCAAATTTGGCCCACGATATAATTATATTTGCCCCGGGAGATCATATCAAATATGTATTAAAGCTGGCCTGCCAGCTACAGATAGGCTATTGAGACATTATTTATTTAAAATTTGGGTAACACTTTAGATTAGGGACCACATATTAATAGCTAGTTAATAGTAAAATGCATAATACGTGCTTAATTACATCGTTGTTAGTATTTATAAAGTACTTTTAATGCATTTTTTGTCTAAGCCTGTATTTCGCGAGTACTAACACATTAACTATTTTCTTCCCATTAAAGTAGTGGAGATTATAATCAATGTTTTTGTGTATACACTGAAATCTTAATAAGCATTAAGTGTTTGATTAATACCAACTAATAGCTAAGTAACAGCTAATTAGCAAACCAATTACCACTTAGTTACCTATTAATATGTGGTCCCTAAACTAAAGTGTTACCAAATTTTGTTATTATTTTATATTATGCTTGTTCTAGATTCAATATTCAAGCAAAACTATTATTAAACAGTTATGTTAATATGAAAGAAAAGAAAACATGCAGATGTTGAAATTTTTCAATAAATATTTAGTTTGGCCCACGACTTAATCCCAGTTTTTAATTTTGGCCCTCTGTGAATTTGAGTTTGACATTCCTGTCATAGTATTGATATCGGCATCGGAACTGTAAAAGCTGGACCGGTGCATTCTTTATTCATACTGACTCATTAAAACCAGCACTACCAGAAGAAGCCTGAGTACCACCATGCATTACACTCCTGCTGGGCCCTCCTAATCTATTTCACCCCCCGTGCCCTATCTAGTGCACAATTCATCTTTCCATCACACGCTGCGTTAGACCCCTTACTATTGTGGTCGGTCCCTCCTGCACTGCCGTATCTCCTACTTTGGGTCTTCTAGCTAGGTTGCAATTGTCTCTAAATGTGCCGAGTCGACTTAATGAGAATGGCCTATCTATGGTGCGACTAAGCAGAGGTGGTGATGAAGACTTCCCCCTGGACTGCGGCCATATGGTGTGGTTTTGGAGGCTGACAGAAGGAGAGCAGGGGTGTGTAGTAAGATAAATGCCCGCCTGTGAGATTTATTTGCTGTGACCTGGAAAACACTTCCTGGGAAGACGATGTGGATCCAAGGCACTTCATCACTGTTAGACAAGCTCCCCCGGCTGCCGACCCAAAACCGGCACCCGCGATCGCTACTTTTCCTCCTGCGCACCCTCATACGAGCACATGTTCCCCCCCTTGTTGGGCGTTTTGGCACAGAGGTGTGTGAAAGTGCATGGCCTCTTACAGTCTTTCAGTCAGGCCGTCATTTATATTTCCGTGAGACTGAGGTGAATTGGAGATTGATGCTGTATTTTTCCATGGGAAGTGTGTGTCAACAGCTGTCATCAACTTAGCGGGCAGCGAGGTGTTTGACAAGCAGGTTTCAGAAAGTCTCGCTCAGAAGAAACCACTAAATGACATGCAAAAGTAACATCGCAATAACACCTGTATTTCTCAGCTGGTAAAATGATCTCTGCAAAGATAGTGAATGAACAGGGAGTGGTTTTGTGGATATTCTCAGTGGTACACAAGAATCTTCTGGTAGTACTGATACAATAACAAAACAAAAATACATGATCTGGTTTTTGTCATTTTAGTTTAGTCATGTTCCTGCTTCAGTCCTGCCAAAAATCTGATTCAGGCCCAGTTTATTCTGTTTAGTCCAGTTTTATAACTCTTTAATCTGTATCATTTGTTAATTCATTTTTCTAAATAAAATAAAAAATAAGAAAATGAAAAAACAACTATTTTCTTCATTATTTGTCTCCAAAACAAGAAGCGGATAACGATTTGTTTTTTCAGTTTTTGATTTTGTGTTTAAATAAATAATGGAAAAAATAGATAACGGCTGTTTCCGTGACTTAAACTGCGATGCCGAACTTTTGCGCCACATACGGACTGAAACAGGACTGAACCGGGACTGAACCAGGAGTTTTGGGACGGCCCGGAGGTGCGCCCGGGTAGATTGATTGGGACCAAGCTGGGACTGAGACCAGGACTGAGATCAGGATTGAGACCATGACTGAGACTGGGATTGAAACTGGGTCCAGACCAGGATCAGGACAAGGCCTGAACCAGGACTGATCCCAGGACTAAACCAGGTCTAAACCAGAACTGAACCAGGAGTAAACCAGATCACGAATAATAAAGACTGAAGGTTTACATGATACATTTAAAGTAAACTTTTAATATGTAAATATATAAAAATTAATTCTCAATTCTCATTCTAATTATTTCTCAAATGGTAAAGAAAAGAGAATTATTGTGTGTCTCATTGTCAATATTTTTAGAAATCCATAAAATAAATACAGGGAGTTAACAACTGTGTGTATGACCTCATAGACACTCAATCAAACATGCTAAGTCCTGAGACACATAAGAAGTGCACACAAGCAAAAGTGTGCAATGCGCTTTCCCCAAACTTCTTAACGATAGAGAATCCTAACAAGCTTCACTGTGACCTAGTTGAGAAACAAAAGAAGTTAAAAAGTTGCCAAATGAAGCAGTGTGGCAGGCGCAGGTCCTGACGGCTTAACCCCTCACCTGCCAGTCCTGCAGCAGCGGGTGCGTCTCTGGGAGGGCTTTAGGTCCCAGAGAATCGTTTTCATAGACGACAGGCAGAACCAAGGTCTTCTCATAATCCAAAGACATCTGAAAGTGACACACATGCAGTTAATACATACTAACATAGACATACATACAGTTCACCATAAGACTGAGCAAGCAGAATGTCTGTGATTGAATTAAGTTTTTAATTAAAGGGAATGTTTTACTGTTAATAGAATTACTTTGGCAATTTTTACCGCTGTTGCCTTGGATCAATATTCATAATTCACCACTAGTGTTCACTGATATTATCATCATTTCATTCTAAAATGTTAAAGGCCCCATATTACGCTATTTTATGATCTGTTATAATTGTTCCTTATCAAAACATACCTGGAATTATGTTTTGTTTCATTCACATATGTTCAGAGTTTTTCTCTAAAACTGAAAACACTCTGTTCTCCGTTGTGATGTAATGTGGTAATACAAGAAGTGCTCCACTGTGTTTTTATAATCCATACACCTTCACTCGAATCATTCCGATGATTTCAGCCCTTGGATTGCCAGTCTCTACTGAACCAAAACTAAAAAGTAGATGTTAACATGAAAACTACTGCTTCATGACATCACAAGGTGGAACAGAGCATTATAAGAAAACTAATAATGAACTCACACTCAAACGTGTGTAAGAAACAAAACACAACTCCAGGTATGTTTTGATGAGGTAACAACATTATTATGCCGTCTCTAAAAGTTCACAAGAGTAAATTTTTCAAAATACGGGACCTTTAAGTCTTTATAACTTGTATATGTATAATTAAAGCAAATGTTGGATTTTTCACCAAAACTCTCCCTAAATAATGAAGTATAGTTTTAATATCAGTTGCTGCTCTGTTTCTGGGACTATGGTGCAGATTTACAGACTGGAACTGAAGTGCTGAATTTTGTGTGACTGACCATGAAAAGGAAACATGACTCCATGACACTGACAGTCATGAGCTGTAATGGTTTCGCTCCAAAATTGACTTAAAGCCAAGAAGAAGCTCTCAACTCAATCTGTCATTTCAGGGCAGTTACTTTTGGCTCGTTTTCAAACTGAGCCTTCACACTTTTTTGTCAGTGAGTAATTGGCTAGGAAAGGAGCTACAGTGAAAAAAGACAATGATATGTTCAGAGTAGCAGAGGGAGTGAAAAAATCCTGCAGAACTGTACTCCCGTAATTATGAAATGGTTAAGGAAAACAATTTAAGCTACAAAACATGAAAGTAAATTTTACTTCAGACTATTTTAAAACACTTTTTAGTAGCAGTGGTCTCAGACTTTTCACCCCCACACCAGAACCAATATAGACGAGAGAGGACTTCCAGGTCTAAACTAGTACTAGGTCTAAAATAGAATTGAACAATTGTTATTCTAGTTCCAAACAATTAACCCAAATAAATGTGGATAAAACTTATTAATTCCACCATTAGAGATACATGTAGGAGTTACCATAGTGACACAATGAACGCATTAGCAAACAATGACAAAAAAAAGTTTTAAGATTATCTGAAAAAACACAGAATAGATTTCAACAACACATTTTTAGCAGCCTGTGAGCAATGCGAGTGTTCATGGTCCCACTTAGGTCTTTGATTTTCTACAAAAATGTGAGAGTGAAATGACTGTAACAGCACAAATCAGCTCTCCTGTTGTAGTTCCAACAAAACCAGCAATTTCTGGTCATATTCTGTTAAAATACACCTCAGATTAAAGTCTAATTTGTGTTACAGAGCTTCAGACAGAGTAGTGCTTCAGTTAGCATCACACGCCCAAGGAATGTTCATGGCATCTGCTGCAAAGTATCAGTGTATTCAAAATGTACTCAAGTAGCTGGATCACATAGTAAAAGTTAAAGTATGTATTTACCCCACCCTTTGTTACTTCTGCTTAGTTTTTTGCTGTCTTTGCGGAAAACTATGTGGAGACAATACTGAGGCTGCAACAGTTGGATTTATGCTCCTCTCCACTCTGCCTTTCAACACTCTCCCTACTCATTTCCTTCACGACCAGAAAACAGAGTCCAGTGTCCAACAAAACAACTGAAGTCATATGACATTGCACAAGGATGTTCGTTTTCACAACATCGGGGCGAGCGTGTGAGAAAAAGAGAGAAATATGTTGTTTGGGAAAAATCAAGAGAAAGTTTTGCTGTCTCTGTGCCCAACATTGTTCTGCCTGTATCAAAGTCAGGTCTGCGGTTTACAGACTAAACACTCTCAATTGCGGGTAGTTTGTGTTTTCCTTTGGGTTTGTGCTTCTGGTGTTATCGCAGTTAATCATCATTTCAGTAATTGTAGAAGTTTATACAGTTTGTTGAACCAATGCTAGTTGAGTTTCAGATGGCATCATAACATTCCTAAGCTCGATAATATTTTAAGATTCTGTGTACTACGCAAATTGACTCTTGTGAGTTTTAAGCCATGTTAGAATGCTGTTATTTCCTCAAAAACATATCTGGAGTTGTGTTTTGTTTCATTCACACATGTTTGAGTAATCAGTTATTATTAGTAAGTCTCAAAATGCTCTGTTCCACCTTGTGATGTCATGAAGTTGTAGTATTCAAGTTAACATCTAACTTTTACCTTAAGTTCAGCAAAAATGGGCAATTCCAAGTCTGAAATCATCCAAATGATTGTGTTAAACATTTGTGAATGAAACAAAACACAACTCCAGGTACAGTATGTTTGTGATGAAGAAACAACATAGACAGACAGATATAACAAAGATAAGGAAATAGCGTAATTAGGGGTGGGTATCGTGAAGAAGCTGTCGATACGGTACATAGCTCAATACAGTGAGGTTTCGATTTGATACAGTTCGATACAATATATTTCAAATCGATTCAATACGGTACAATAAAAAATAAAGGCTAAATCATGGCTGCGATACTAAAAGTCTTTGTTAAACCACTTCTTGTGCAAAGTTCATATGAAACACAAACATTTAATCATCAAAACTGTGAAAATGTCAAATGTGTCGCAACGAGTTTCCTTCCTCTGAACAGACAACAAAACTGGAGCTCTGTAAGAAATAATTTTGTAAAATATACCAAAAAATACTCCAAAAAATACAGCCCACGATATTGATACTGTATCATCACATTAAACAATACAATATATCGATATTTCAATTTTTTGCTCACACCTAATATGAGCTCTTTAAATATAAACATAGTAGTAAGAAGTATTAGCGCTGTAAAAAACTATTACTTATCATATAACAGTTCCCATTAATTTGATTGCTTTACCATAACTACTGTTGTACCACAAACAAATGATCAACTAATGTAATGTCATTCCTGATCCAACTCTCTCTATTTATCCTGGCTTGGAACTGACACAAATAGTCTAGCGGATGTAGTCATTAGTGGTTAAAGTTTCATTGTGTCTGCATTACTGTAAAACTCCTTTCCACAGACAGATTTTACCCCGAGGCGAGATCACCCTTCACCAAAACTGCTTACCTACAGAGAACACATTAGCCAGGCTGCAGGGGGCTAGCTGTCCACTGTGTGTTCTCAAAGTTACAAGGTGAATTTCTTTACTATAGATTAGCGTCACTGGGAAATATGAAACTGCACGTGTTGGCTGGTAGAAATATTAAAAAACATTAAAAAACACCATTGAGAATAATACTACTGCCAGTATGCTAGTGTGGTGAGATAGTAGACAAAAGCAGGTTTTCTCACCTTGGGGAAGAACGTGCGTGTGACAAACTGTTTGTACTCCAGGAATGGGATGCCCTGGCTCCGATTCAGCTCCTTGGTCAGGTCTGTCATGTCTGTCTGGAGCTCGGCAAAACCTGGCAACGAAAATGATCAAAATCGGTCAGCTAAAACATTATGGCCATCTGCTTAATATGTAGCCTTGGGGAGGGCGATATTGACAAAAAATGAATTTGAGAGAATTATAGTCATAACAATAATGAGCACATAGATGATAGGTGCTAAAACCTGCCTGTAAATGTTCATATATCGGACGATAGTAAATGAAATGTACTTAAAAAGTGTAGAAATATCACCTTGGATGATTAAAAGTAAGAAATAGTTTTAATTTTAACAGCTTTTTGACATTTTTAAATTATCATAGCATATAGTAGGGTTGTAAGAAAAAATTGATTCAGTGCTAAATATATGAAAGGAATTAATTTATGGAATAGTCTTGACAAAGATATAAAGGAATCAAGTACAATGACGGAATTTAAAAAACACAAAAAACTCATAAAAACCAGTGCGATGTGTATGTATGAAAAAGAAAGCTAAATTATTGTGCATAACAGTGACGATTTCTGTTTGCAATTGATTAATAATTGTGACTGAACTGAAATGTAGTGATTTGAAATGTTTAGTAAATATCGGTGTTGATGCATTATCTGGAAATAGGAAAAGGGGAAAGGGGGCAGATAACATAAGATGACTCTTCTTTCTGCTCCTTTTCATTTATTTGTTGTATGTTTGATGTTGTGACACTGTTGATGTCTTCTTATACCTTATGAATTAAATAATTCATTGTGAAATGTTCATATAGATACAAATGTTTTTCTAAAAAAAATCCAATTTGAATATATTGTATTTCATCCAATTATCTTCTAGTGAAAGTGTATTTGACCATAAAATTATACATAATTATTGATAAATCCCAATATATTGTCCTTTTAGTATCAGAATGTATCATGATATACTGAATTGTGACAAGCATATCGTGATAAGTATCATATCGCTAGATTCATAGCAAAGCACACCATTACAGAGTATATTTAGTCATGATAATTACTATATTGACTATTATTCAATATATAAAAATATTTTTGGGGTCAATACTTATTGTACTATGACAAGATTTAAGATGTAAAAGGTTGACTCATTACAGATGCAAACTAAGTACTAAAGTGTTTCATTTTGCTGTTATTGTAGCTTATGATTTTTTAGCACTATTGTAGATTTAGAATAGTTTTTGTAGTTTAAATCAGCTCTTGGGTTATTGTGTCAGTGGCATAAATTAGCTTCATTATTATCATTTATCATCTATATTTACTTCACTTTACTTTATATCGAACTTCAAAATGTGTTATCATGACAGGCCTACACCCCTAACATATATGGACAACATATAAAGACAATGCAGAGACTATACTGCCCACCTTAAATGTGGCTCTATATTATGATACTCAAACATTCACTTCTTCAATGTAGTTAAAAGATTAAGAACTAGCAATCCCTGTTTCCTCTTGATTGAAATACTGAATGCTACAGACCACAAACACCCTGTAAAAGCTAACACATGGTTTAGACATCATAATTTACTGAAACCCTTGCTTAATTTTCATGTTTCTGAAATCTAATCTTCGTGAATATTCTCTTGTGCCTAGTTTAGTTTTCCCCTTATTTTTTTTAAAAAGATAGTCTGTAATATTCACTTAATCTTTCATTGGAAGACACGTCGCGACTGATTGGTCCATTTCAAACAGTGGTAGTGGTTTACCATATGTTTTTGTTTGTGGGTATATAGCTTGTTTTTAGTCTGGGGCAAATACATTACACTTCCTGGTGATGTGCAGCGTCTGCCAACCTCCTGATTACAGTGGAGGAGATTTCAGATCAGCAGCCGCACCATTGTATCATCTGATTTTCCAGATCTGTTAGGTAGGTTCTGGTTGAATGCTAAATATGCCAAACGCATACTGTGATCTGTCTCCTTCCTCTTCCGCTGCCAGTCTCTCCAATTGCAGTCCAATACAACACACTGACAAATATTTACCACAAGACAAAGCTGTAGCCAAATCCGGAATAAGGCTGTTTTCCAAAACATGTGTCCAAGATGAGGTTTTTGAGTGAGACAATGAGAATGTATCCAGACACTTGAATCTGCATGCTAATCTCGACTTAGTAGACACTTTATGTTCTTCTAATTAGACACAAGAGATCCCCACATGGAAAAGCCCTTTGTTGCAAAATGAGAGACAGTTTTGGGTTGCATCAGGCTTGTTTGTGGACAGGAAACTGGACCAGAGGGGCTATAGCAACAACACAGAGCACGATTTTAGGCAAGTATGAAAAATTATGTTTATGAAGGAGTCATTTTCTAACAGAGTTTAGTTTAGTCTTTCCACTGTTAGTCATACTATTACAGTTATAAAGAACTGTGCTATAGCCAAGGGGATTGGTCGGTTTACAGTATGTCCATCCCACTCTTAGCCCCCATTTAGGGCTGCATGTTTCTGGAAAAATCTGACCGCAATTAGATTAGCAATATATGTTTAAAAAGCAGGATTCTGTTCAGAATGCATATTGTAAACAACTCTAAGAGCAGCAACATTTTAAAGAAGACTTTTTTAAACTGATAATCTACAGGTATCAAAAGATTGTTCTATAAAAACACAGAATATTTTGTTACTTTTGTTTTGAGTCATTTATCTAGATATTTTACCTCATTTTGTTAATTTACCTATTACATTTCTGTTTATTAAATTACTTTATTTATACAATTTATAACATCTTGTTTTTTGTTACTTCCCCATCCCTGGCACAGACGGATATCGTAACACAGAGAACATTCTATTATTCTATCTAAATTATTGCAGATTTTGCAGTTTGATAACTGCTCCAACTCAAATTGCAACTTTGATTTGAATGCAATATCTTGTGCAGTCCTACCCAATTTCACTGCAATATTATCTTCATTAGAACATCCATGCTTATTGCGGAGATTTTCCAAGTTTTCTAAGGGTCTGTGATTTTCTCTATTGTGAAACATTAACACACCATTTCATGTTCACTTTTGGCACAGTATTGTATTTCATCTCTCCCCAGGGTTATTTATCTATTGAATCACCCGTCACTTCACACTTTTGATTAGATTCTGAGGCCTTGAACACACCTCACGTCTCACTGAATGCCAAAGTCCTCCCATCTCTGCAGTCTGGAACATGTCTATTGCCAATCTGCCTCTTTTACTCCTCTTTTATCACCTCTTAGCTTAGGGCAAAGCAGTACCTCGCTGTTTTGCCCTGAACTCAAGCCACAAATCTATCTCTGTCCATTGACTAAATAACCTCTCCCTCCCACACAGGAGACTGCCTCGGCCCTGACTCTGCGCTCCTATCTCCCCCTCTCTTTCATTTCTCTCCCCCTATCCGCTGCCCTATCTCCGCTCCATAAATCCAGCCCTTCTCGGATGCAGAGTGGCCTTCACGGCACTTTCCTTTAATGCCCAGGAAGACATGCACAAAACTGAAAGCACACACATTGCTCACACCTGCGGGCCTGGGCTAGACTTCGTGTGAATCTGTGTTGCAGGTTTAATTGGTGTAGTGGTAAACATTAAAATTAAGCTAAGATAAAATGCTCTAACTGCGACAACAGCAGCATTACAGTGAAGAACCCATTGGACGAAGGCTATGGCAGTTACACAGGATGGCATTAAAGCTTGTATATTATGCAAAATTGACTGCTGTGAGCTTTTAGCCAATGTTATAATGTTCAAAAACATGCAGTACCTAGAGTTTTGTTTAGTTTCCTTCACAAATGTTTGAGTAATCTTTTCTTATTATTCTGTCTATATCTTCAAAGCTGAAAATGCTCTGTTCCACCTTGTGATGTCATGTAGTGGTAGTGTTCAAGTTAACAGACTGGAAATTCCAGGGCTGAAATTATCCAAATTATTCTTGTGAAGCTACTGAGTCAAAACACAGTGAAACTATCTGTATTACTAGTATCATTCAGAAGTTGCCGATATGATATATTCATTGATACATAAGCCAAGATACGATGCATATCTCAATACAGTGCACTTTCAGTTCGATGCAATATATTTCAAATGGATTTGATACAGTTTAATAAAAAATAAAGGCTAAATCACGGCTGTGAGACTAAATGTCTTTGTTAAACCACTATTTGTGCAAAATTAATATGAAACACAAACATTTTAATCATCAAAAATGTGAAAATGTCAAATGTGTCGCATAAATGAGTTTCCTTCCTCTAAACAAACAACAAAACTGTATTGCTGTAATGAAATAATATAGTAAAATATATCAAAAAACACTCTTGGTGATATATCGATACACCAGCTCACAATATTGATACTGTATCGTCACATTAAACTATATGGTATATCGATATTTTGATATTTTTGCACAACCTTATGTATTACCACATGACATCACTAGGTGGAACAGAGTGTTTCCGTTTGAGAGAAGAACTCAACCTAAATAGAGTTTGTGTGAATCAAACAAAGCACAACTCCAGGTATGTTTGTGATGAGCAAACAACATAATAACAGAGACCAGAAAGTAGAGTAATATGGGCCCTTTAAACTTCTTTTATCTCTGAGCAATTTTGTAATTGAATAAAAGCTAGGTTGATGTCCCTCCACTAGAAAAGTTACATAGTGCACCTTTAACTGCACATGATCTAAGTGGTCTGGGATGCAGAGAGAATCACAAAGCCCATTGGTATTATGCTAAATGAATTAAGAGTGAAATTATCTTCTGTTCATGGATGATTTACTTTGTGGTTCACAGGTATCTTTTACTTGAAAAATGTGCAGTTTTATATCCTTGTTGTCATTTTTCACACCACACTTTTATCAAACGTATTAATTAAACCACAGTTTTTAGGTGGACCAGAATCATCCTGTTTAATCCACCTGAAATTAGTCTGCATTCACACACTCAAAAATGAGCAGAACTAGGTGTCACGATAACAAATTTGGAAGTAAGCTATACTGCTGAAGAAACTATAGAGGATAAAGTATAATGCTGGAACTAAATTATGCCACTGACACAATAACCCTACAGTAGAATATCCCCCCAAAAACTATCCTAAAATGTATAAATGAAACACTTCGTACTTAGTTTGTATCTATAATGAGTGATAGAAGTTATGCTGCCCACTGCAGCTCAAATCTAATCATAGAGCAGAAAAAAACAAAGAAAAAAAGCACCCACAATAAATATGAAAAGTTCTTTTCCAAAAATGGATAAGTGCCATTTGAAAAAGTCATTGGAGGCCTTTAGTTTACTCTTAATATAGTAATATTTTTAAAAGCCAAATCTATTTTACTGCTGTCAAAATATTATTCCATCCCTGCTTGATAAAATCTACTCTATATTACTGTCATTCATAATACCTGTATAAAATGAGATATCTGTTTTTTTTCCTATTGAACTCTTCATATTGACCCCCAAAATTATTGTTCCATCTGTAGTGTGCTGAATGATAAATTTATGTAGTATTTATAGTTTTGTCTGGAAAAGCTCAAGGATTTGATTACAGTGGACCAAAGAGGTAAAATATGCTGACATCCTTACGCCGAGACAGTGGAGGAATACATTTGACGTAAAGAGGCTATCTGAACAGTGTCTGGCGGTGACTGATCATTTGTCAGGTGTTGTGTTTTATGAGTCACGCTTACTAGACACGAATCTATCAACTGTGGCGTATCCCTCCCACCTCACCCTCTCAACCAACACAAACCCTATCACAACAAAGAAACGCATTTGGTCGATTCTAGACTGACAGCGCCACATCATTGGAGATCTGAACAGGCTTTGATAGTAAATACTCCCAAAGTATATTTTTTTTGCATGATGCGAGCGGGAGTGCATTTGCTTTTTCAGTTGCACACCTTTACGGATCTCCTCTCTGATCTGGGACTCCATCTCCTCCATTTGCAGCAGGGTTTTCTGCCAGTAGCGCTCTGCCCTCCGGCTCTTTGTGCAATATACCACAAGCGCTGAAAGGAAAACAAAGAGACGTGAGGAAAAAGATATTATACAGTAATAACTTCAAAGGGATAAAAACAGAGAGTGTTAGGATGAGGTTCTCAGCAGCTGTGGCAGTGACATAATAATTAGACTTAGATAAACGTTATTGATTCACATGGGAAAGCGCTGTGAGGATTTGGGTGACTGGTCGTTTATTTCATGTAGTTACACCATGCATTTTATTTTAAGTGTAATATCCTGCTTGGGCAGTTTGGCGCCTTTCCACTGGCCTTTTGATCTGCCCCTGTTCCTTATATTACACGACATATGGATCATGTCTCTACACTTGTGTCCTCTTTGGTCTCCATGAAGATAGAATCATTTAATACAATACTGCAATAACATCTCCATGGAGAAAAGCTTTTGACTGACCCTCCACCAAAAGTTACACAATGCATCTTTAAATGTATAATGTGTTATGGTTTACAGGCAGTAAATATCCAAGAAGAAACCCATTTTCCTCTGCCACCACTCCACAGTTGGCCAGACAGAGGACTTTTGGCAGATAAGATCGACGCAACAAAGGGGGGGCACTAAGTTAGTTTGTCTAGTTATTTAAGGTGACTTGATTATCACTTATTATTTCTTGTATTATATGTATTTGCCTTCTTGTTACTTTGATTAAGTTAATAGTTTTAATTAATTATTTAGTGTAAATTTCCCCTCCTGTGTTTTAGTTGGCCCTCATATATTTAAACAGTTGTTTGTTCAGCTCAGTTTGACTTAAGTTACCCCAGTTGGGTCCAGGTTTTTGTTAATGATTTACCTAATGTGGGCCTTTGTTAAACTAAATTTTTTTACTTTATTACATTTAAACTTATTTTTATACCTTGTCTTTGCCTTTCTGTTTGGCCCACTACACTCTGTATTTATCCAAAGTGCTTTTTTTTTCTTTCAACCACAAATACATAACATGTTTAGATCACTATGTTACCTTTTATTACTCTGAAAATGCTACATTTGATCAAAACAAGGTATTAACATATTTTATAAGTTTCACTTTTGTTTTTGACACTTTTGTTTTTGACGTTTCTGTTCCCCCCATTCCTTTGCTCTCCGCAGTCACACAATCAGCGTGCATCCCCTAATGAAACTACTGCACGTTGTGTCGGGTTCGTCAAGTTGTTGTTTACAGTTTTGTACCATGTTTTTGTATATTTATGGGGAATTGTCATGTGGGAGCGTGGATGATGTAGGCTTGAGGGTTGAGCATTGCACAGAATCTAATTAACGAGGGTTCGAATAGGGCCTGGGAGAGATCGCTAGATTCCTGAAACATGCATGAATGACATTTAAAACCCCTTCAGGGATGTTATACACAAGCTCAAATACAAAAGCTCAAAAAATATATTCAGCATAATATCATATATGAATATACTCAGACTCAGTTTTATATCTATCTTATATGAAAGTAACAGTTTTATGTGTGTCCATTTGCTACTTATTCATGTTACTTATGCTATGACCCAAAATACTAAGCCCAACCTCAGCTTTGTGTACTATCAGGGGGAGTCATGAGCTTCAAATGCAATAATACACTACTTTAGTTTTAACCTCATGACCTCTATTGTAAGACTAGTTCCTATGTACGACACTGATATATTAAAAACAGATGCTTGATGGACTCTGAACAATAGACATGACACAGGAAATAGTCCAAATCCACTGAATCCCCCCTCTGCCCCAGCCCACCTGCTCCATACGCCATAGTATGCCACCACTCCCCTCAGAGATGACAGGCTATAGTGGCACAGTCAGACAGACCCAGACAGACAGCCGCAGAGAACACTGGCTGCTTTGTGGAGAGAGGGGAGATGAAGCAACCGGGGGACACCATGACCCCCCAGCGCCCCTCCCCCCTCCCTTTTATCTGCTGCACATCTGGGGCATCCATCGCAACAGCAGCCGCGCAGCCATACATCATAAACGGGGAGTAGGGTTATAAAGATGCATAGTCAAAGGAACGGTTTTCAAACAGTACTGCATTCAGAGTTAAGGTGCTACAGCGGAAGTGGAATTGCCCACTGGAAGATTCTACCATCTGGATTAAAAAACGGGGGGGTTAACTGGGTTGAAAAGCAGGTGTACATTACAGGTGGAGATTACTACTATCTTAACACTACCTATGAATGTATTTTATTCAGTGGGTAGATACAAACATATGCCCTTTTGCTGATTAATTTGACTTTGGTCTTAAGGGCATTTTACATTTAGTATCTTTAAACACTAGGAATGTAACGATATCCAAATTTCACGGTACAGTATTATCACAATATGCATCTCACGATACAAAACTTGTTGTGATATTTTGAAAAATGGGACAGTTTTTTGCTTTTAAAATACCTTGACAAGATTTTGGTCTAACTTATTTCCATCATAATCCTGCTAACGGGGCTAACTGGTATATTACGCTTTTCCCAAATCCCATAGGAAAAAGGGCAATATTGTCTTTCCCCTTGATAGAATTCATCGAACATTCTTTTTGCTCCAGCTTTAAATCCTTGATCTCGGGAATCGTTGCCAACACAGAATGTATGGTTCTTCGCTGATTGGCTGGTGCCCAAACTCGCACTTTCGGGGTTCTTGCAAACCGCTTACTATTTTGAATGTATTATTACCATTTATATTGTTCCTCTTTGTTATTATATTATATTGTGAATATAATTTCCCATGTGGATCAATAAAGTTTGTCTAGGTATAAGTTTAATTCTAACATTGATCACCAGGTTGCATGGCAAACAGAAAAACATATAAGCATTCATAGTCACATTTATTCACTGGGGGCCATTGAGATTCACTACTGTCTCGAGTTTTATTCACTTAAAAGACACAAACGATGATCCCATAGAAGCCTGATTTGTGTGGATGGCTAGCCCTCTCTTAGCTGTTTTGTGAAGATAACTTACCCACAGTGCACAGCAAAAGCAAAACGCAGCAGACCACGATGGACACCACAATAGCCAGCTCGCTGCCTCCCTGCTGTACTTTGGCGATGGTTTGGTGGAAGTTCCCCACCTGGATCTATGAACAGACACAGAACATTTATTAAACTCATCTTCTAAAGCATGATTTAGTGGTTACATTTAGAATACGTTGTAGTCGTAGTAGAAAGGATTGCGTGCAGCTTAATATAGGCAGGTCTTAATAGAAACAAGTGCATGGTTTCTACACACACATAAATTTTAATGGACGCAGGTGCAGGCATGCTCACAAAAAAAAAAAAAAAAAAAAAAAGAAAAAAGCACCCCGCAGGAGGGTTTGAAAAATGGCCTTGCGCGTCAAATGAGCAAGAAGAGCCACACAGTTCAGAGTAACCCAGATGTGTTGAGAAAAGGACGGGCGCTTCCCCTTCTGATTAGTCAGCAGGGCCTCTGTGCAGCACTACCACCACAGCAGCGCCTTCCCCAATCCCAACTTCATGAAAAAGACGGAGATGAAAAGCCCCCAATCCTCAAACCAAATCCTTCTTTACATTGGTCCGACTCAGAGTGAGAAGCTAGCCTCACTGGGCTCCACTGCTCTTTCATTTGGGCTCTTTCTAGTTCCACTCACTTATTTAATATATTTACCAAAATGTTAAAAAGTGAATGTCTTGTAGAGCAGGTGTGATGTAATGATTATATAATGAGACAACTTACACTTAAAATATCTTCAAGATTACTAGTCTGCTTAGAGTCATTAATTTAAAGGTCCCATATTACGTGAAATCTACTCTTGTGTGCTTTAAGTCATGTTATAATGTCGTCACCTCCTCAAAAACATACCTGAAGTTGTGCTCTGTTTCATTCACACTTGTTTAAGTAATTAATTACTGGGCCAAAACTCAAAATGCTCTATTCCACCTTGTGATGTCATGTAGTGGTAGTTTTTAAGTTAACAGCTACCATTTACCTTTTGTTTCGCAGAGATTGGTAATTCCAGGTCTGAAATTATCCAAATGATTCTAGTGAAGGTGTAAGGAGTTTAAAAACACAGTTGAGCACTTCCTGTATTACCACATGACATCACAAGGTGGAACAGAGTGTTTTCAGTTTGACACAGCCTAAATATGCAGGATTTGTGTGTTAAACATGTGTGAATGAAACAAAACACAACCCCAGGTCTGTTTGTGATGAGGATACATTATATATATGCAGTATATTATACGTAATATAGACAATGCTTGCAACACTTTCTTTATTCCTTCAAATGTTCTTGTTCCTTTGCGTATTTACATCAAAAAAAGAACGGAGAGTAGCCTTACAAAGCAGATGCCATTGTCCTTAGTTCCTGTTTCATTATCTCTTATCTATGGTATGATAAGAATAAGAAGAAATCTAGAAGTACTGCTGTCAGACTACTCCTAGTAACATTGTACAAGTTGGTAGCATTATGCCTTTATAAGACAAAATCTTTCTAATCTTTATTACTTTTACTACTACACTACTTTTAATTATACTATATGTACTACTATTATACTACATTTTTGAATTTTACTACAACCACAGACTTTACAGGTCCTACGTTTTACTCTTTTCTGTTACTCTGGTTCCAGGCATTTATTTAATTGTATTGCCAAAACCATAGACAAGCCTTGAAAAGTGGGTGTAATGGAGGGGAAAATGCCATTGTTCCCAGTTCCTGTTTCTCTTTAGTTAAAAAAACACCACTTCCTCTCCTTGGATCACTTCAGAGCCCAGCACAAACATGGCACTGTGTATAAATAGATGTGGCACACACAGAGTAAGCAAGGAAACAAATGGCCATGAGCTATGCGTCGGCTCAATGCATTTATTGAAAGGCAAATATACATGCACTATATCTTTATGTGCTCGTGCACTTTGAAAACATCCTCAGTGACTGGAAAGATCCACTGCAGCCATACACTCTTATGACCTATAGTCCAAACCTCTGCTCAACAAAGTTATTAGAGTATTAATAGTAACAGAAACTAAAATATTAATTCAAAAGTTTTTTAAAGTACACAAAATGTTGATTCAACACAAACCTATTAACTATAACTATAAACTATATTACAGCGACTAGAATTACAACAACTACTACAACTACTACTAACACTACTAATACTACAACTAATACTATTACTACTCTTAGTAGGGCAGCACAGTTCAAATTAATTTAATTATTTTTTGTTTTTCATAATCAACTCTGTGAAAAATTGCTAAAACATGAATTTTATTGGCCATAACTCCTAACCAGAACCATACTACTTTTACTGCTACTACTACTACTACTATGACTACTACTACTACTACTACTACTACTACTACTACTACTACTACTACTACTAGTACTACTGCTACTACTAGTAGTACTTTATTGCTTCTACTACCACCACCACTACTACTACTGTACTTTGACTTTGACATATTTGATATTATACGTACCTTACCACTAATGAAACAGTCCCCATGGTAACCAGTACCCACAAAAATAATACATTTTACATTTACATTTACAGAGCAGTTATGTTTCTCCATTACTAGTTCCAGCACATACTATTGACTGTGTAGGTTAAGCCACTGCTAATTCCCTGCATGTATTTGGTAGCGGTCATAAAATGGTAAGATGGAGGAGTAGATGCAGCCTCAGGTACGAACCATAAAAATAACGGTGTAAAAGCTTTCCTGCTATTTTGGAGTCTGAAAGGGGAAGGCTTTCTGAAGTAGTTACAAGTCAGTGAGCATGCACATAAAGTTGTGAACATGTGTTTCCAGCTCCAGAGAGGTACTCTTATTTAAATATAGATGAATGCGTCTCGTCTAATAAAAAGTCACTTGAATGGACAACCACATTTGGTACACGGGCTATACGGAAAGGACTTTGTGTTATGGGATTGTGTGAATTATCAAAGTTAGGATGCATGAAATTGATGTCTTCTCTAATAGATGGTTTGACCTTGCCAATGTAAAAGCATATGAGAAGCAGGAAGAATCAATGTCACTCTGCTTTGAGTAATATTGTAATTGCCTTGTATGCGACTACCGCTTCCTCATGCACGTGCTGTATAATGCAATCACCAATAAATCTATTAATATGTCTTCTTGGTGTTCAATAAGGCTGAGTCTTGAAAGAATGGTGCTACGAGCTAAACAGACCGCAGCACATCTGTAATTACCATATTTGGCATAATCAAGATAATTTTGGCTCTCAGTTGGCTACTTGTACATAATGAGTGCCTGTGTTTATATAGCATTACTAGCATCAAAGTTAAATGCAGCGGTTAACATATAAAATTAGCATAATGTTATGTAAATGGTAAATGGTCACATTTTTATACAGTGCTTTTCCACCTTCAAGGCACTCAAAGCTCTTTACATCAAGGAACCCATACACACACAGACACTGGGGTGAGCATTCATCTCTGGGAGCTGGAATCACAACGCCAACCTGTGGATCAGTGGATTTCCCTCTTCAACCAGTCAGTTTTACGTTTTATGTCAAGAGTGGGAATCAAACTGGCAACCTTCGGATCAGTGAACTTCACCAGCTGAGCTATGTTTAACTATTTAAACATCATGCTGTGTAACAATGGGAATGAATGGAAATGTTTTTTTCAGTATTCTGGGTCATTGTATTGTTCTTTTTTTTTTTCTTAAACAAATTAAAATACAGTTATGCAACCAAAATGTCATTATCTAAAACAATACGACAAGCTTAGATGAATCAAACTAATAACCGCTAATGAAATATAATGAATAGCATCACTCTTACTAATTTGCACCTTATTTGATAATATCACTTGGAAAGTTCAATTTTTAAAGACACATTTTCAACTGAGCAATTACTTCTACCTCTTGTTTTTAATCAGTCATTTATCATGGTTGCTCTGCTGTCTGCAACAATTTTATTCCAATACAACTATATTTGCTCAAAAAGACAAAGCAACACATTAGGGCTTTAATTGGAAGCATTAATTACAATTTAGAAGCTTCTGAAGTGTGTATTCCCTTCGAGATAGTACCATCTGTGTGATAGGTGAGACTGCCATTGAAGAAACCAGGCTGATGAATGTATTAGGTAAACATTTGACTGTTCTTCTGTGGCATTGTGGCGCTCATGATGAATCACCACTCGGCTAAGTGCTGACTCATGCTCTACCACTACAAATCATTTATAATGCATAGAAAGAGGGACACACGCATCATTGAATATGCATAGGCCTACGAGGGCTGTTTGAATGAGCTCTGCAGATGGTGAGGTTTCTGACCAAATGTCTGGACTGGCGCTGAGAGACAGGCCGAGGTTTTGCTTAAATTACCAGGGTCAATTTGTGAATATTTCCAACAAGGGGCTTCATAAAGTGCACATTGTGAGTGTGTAGTCAGAGTCATATTAATCAGGACCCCTGTAAGACCACAGTGAGACCAAGACTAGACCAGGACCGGATCAAGACCAAGAGACTGGATTGGATTATTTATAGTTCCCAAAAGATAGGTCATGTCAATTGAGCATGGAAAAGTTACACAAATATGGGGAATCGCACACTGAGAGATTATTTAAAGTGGGCATATAGATATGTTTAGGGAATGAATGCACCAGAGATTAGGTGGTTTGCCCACTAATTGGAGAGTTCAATTCCCCCTCTGACATAATGTATACAGCCATTATGCTCTACTGATATATTGCATCTCAGTGTTTGGTTGTGGTGGGAAGGGCATCTGGCATACAAAACAAATACAATGTTCTGGAAAAGCAAAAACAAATAAATATTATTTTGAAATATTGGGGAACTCACCAGGGCTACATCTAACTTTTTTTTTTTTGGCTGACTTGTCAAATTAGAGATTAAATATATTTTTACAAAATAAAAGTTGAAATATAGTGAGTGAAGGCTTCTAGATACAGAGAATACAAACATGACTAAAGTGTATTATTTATGAAAATAATATATTATTTAATCTATTTTGTTATTTTGATTTCATAATGCCATGGTCTCTTTTCTGTCTTTGGCCTCAAACTTTGGAAAGCTCTCCCTCCTCACGTTAAGACCGCTCCTTCTGGGGATTCTTTAAAGTCTTGTTTAAAAACACACTTTTACTCAATGGCTTTTAACAAGGCATGAGAATTGCGAGCTTCTCTGACTGTCTTTTATTGATTTTATTTGCTATTTTTCTATTAGCTAATTTTAGTATTTTTATATTTTTTACTGACTTGCTTATTTTTTTATTTTATGCTTTATTTTATTTAATGTGTTAATTTATACTGTGCCTACTCTGTGCAGCACTTTGGAGACTTTGCGTTAGTAAAATGTAAAAAGTATAATGAAACAGCCAAATCTTTAGTGTTGTGGTATTTGTGTCTGCATACTTACTGTGACAAGTAGCTCGCTCTTACTGGTGCTGAGCGGTTCGTTGATGGTGCAGTGGAACAGCTGGTCATTATGAAAGCTGATGTTACAGGGATATGAGCCAATCATCACCGAGTACTCCTCCGGTACCAGCTCCAGATCGTTGGGCCCTTTCTGTGCCAAAAACAAGGACAGGAAAACAAAAAGCGTCAGGCGGTCAGGGGCAGGTCAATGGACAAATGCACACAGACAGAAGGGGTAGAAGAAATGAAAAACTCAAGTAAAAGTACTGTGTAACCTCCAAGTGATGTTATAACTTGAAAAACAGCCTGTGCCCTAAGATGCTGTTAGACGAAATATATTACATGAGAATAAATACTAAAGTTGGAGCAAAAAATGAAATCATAAAAACCCTTTACGATTTCATTTCACTTATGTTGCAACTCTATATCACACCCATTACTCATTTTGTTTTCTAGTGTAGTCTTTTAAAATATACTCAAAAAACAAAACTAAAAACTTAAACATGTACTAAAATAAATAAATTCGAGGATTAACGTGACAGAGATGAAATGTGCCAATCACAGCATCAGAAACATAACATTAAGAATTCAATAATAAGTTAGCAATATAATACAAATACTAATAATAATTTACACTGAATGAATATAAAAATAAAACTTAAAGATCTTGAGGTATAAAGGACAATCCATGTTTTCTGGTCTCCCTCCTGTTCATTCTCTATATATTTCTATATTTTATTTGTATTTGCACATATCCATTTGTATAATTATGCTTTATTTGACACCAATCTCTTGGTATTTTTCTTACTTATTACCATTTATGTTTTTGTGGTTTATTATTATATTTATTGTGATGTGTGAGCTAATCCAAATAATTTCCCTCGTGGATCAATAAAGTTTGTCTAAGTCTAATAGTAAATGTTATCAGATAAGGAGCCCCTGTGTTTTCTTCACACATGTCCCTATTCACAGCCTGGCTAATGTGTGCCTGGACAAACCTGCTGTAACTGCACTGGTTTGGGCTCGAGTTCAGCTTAAAGCAGCAAACATTCCCTCTGAGTCGCTCTCACATGACCGGGGAAATTTCTCCAAACAAACCCACTGACAGTCATCGCTGCTGCTGCCCAAAATAACATTCTCAGGGCCTTTTCACAAGATATGACTCCAACTCTGTCTCATATCCAAACCACACAACACTGCTAAAGTCCTTAATATCTGAAGGAAACATGATGACCATATTTGGAGTGAATGCTTGGATAACACTGTGTAAATCTGTCTTGGACAAAATACATTGTTGTGTACACTGCCTAAGGCCCATAGTAGCTGGGGCTGACTCCAAAACATGAGGCCCTTGTCTGGACCTATTCATCTCACTATAATGGAAACAAATTGACCATGTTTGTGTAACTTTAAAGGATTTTGCCCCTATACAATAAGGTTATAGGTTTTGGCTATCTGACAAAGCTTTCTACAAAACACAAGCACGCGGATCTTATTTTCCCAGAATACACCAGTTCAATGAATAAATACGAGCTTCAAAGTAAGACATTTACTACAACAATTCTTTGAAAAATACCATTCTCTCAGCTGATTCCAATTCTATTCTACTTTAACTATTTGTAAACCACAAACACTGCTACAGTCTTCAAAAGAACTTGACTATATTTATTTACAGAGTTATTTACTTCATAATAGTTCTGCTGTCCAAATGTGATACCCTAAACATGGAAACTCATGAAAGTTGTAAATACAAACACAACTGCAACACAAACCCAAACCAGGAAGTGTGCCTATAAACAGTTTAACAAGTTTATATTAGAAATGTCTGTCATCGCTGGACTGTTTTTCTTGCCTAATAAGATTGACTGACCTGGGGTGTTGTTCGTTAGTTGAATGATTATGTTTGTGAAGCCATTTGGACTCTGCAGCGTGTCCAGATTTATCCCATTAAAACTTTGTGCCGACTTTGTTTCAGTTGCCAGCTAAAGAGGGGAAATGAATTGCAATAGTATGAGGTAAGCTGTATGTAATTCTAATTTCCTTTCAACATAACAAATGCGAGACGTGGAATGTGTGTGTCTGCGTGTGTGTGTTTGTATGCATGTGCGTGTGTGTGTGTTTGGGTCTGTTTATTCCCACTGTGCTTCCGTGCTTTGATTGCACCCTCAGGGCCGTGTCCTGTCCCTACTGCAGGAGTCCACCCCCCGGGCCTCTGTCAACAGCTCCACAACTCAAACACTACACTGACATATGCAAAAATAAAAAAGAAGAGACATATTATTTGGTGCTGAATATTTTTTTAAGGAAGCAAGCAAAAAACAACACAGCGGTTACTGATTAGTGGTTGTGGGTTTGAGTTGTATCTTAAGACAACAGATTAAATTTAAAGGTGGACTATGTCACTTCCATCACCTGCTTGTTTCTATGGATATGTCATTGCTTTGCCTTTAATGTTTCACAGTTTGACATTAAACAGCTCTACCTTAGATTTATTCGTTACAGGAGGTTTTATCACTCAGATATGACCTGTAACTTGGTCTGGTTTGGTCTCCCTGAAGATAGAAAGGTTTAATACCGTACTGTGAAACATTCCAGACAAACAATCTCCACAGAGAAAAGCATTTGCTGGACCCTCGACCAGAAAAGTTAAACATTGCGCCTTTAAGGAGGTAGCAAAAAACAACAGAGAGGTTATTAGTTAGCAGAGGTGGGGACTTGCAAGTCATGACTTTTACTCGAGTCAGACTTGAGTCACTATTTTTAGGACTTGAGACTTGACTTGATAAAATGGACTAAGACTTGGACTTGAAGGTCAAGGACTTGAGACTTGGCAGACTTGGCTCGGACTTGAGGCCTGTGACTTGAGAAGACTTGAGAAGCACTTTTAAATTTGAATTCATTCTATTCTGACTGTAAGGATTCACACTAAGATCTTGGCAAAACATTTCTACAACTCTTATATACTCTATAAATACTCATATATAAATATACTATGTTTTTTTTAAGTATAATTTAGCTTAAAATTCATATGAATTGCAAAAAACTAAGCTATATTTGCTATTTTGATTGAAAGACTTGAAATGACTTGAAGCTGAAAGCAGACGACTTAACCTGGACTTATGGACCAGTGACTCAAGACTCAACTTGGACTTGCCTATATTTGACTTGGAACTTGACTCGGGCCTGAGGTCAAAGACTTGAGACTTACTTGAGACTTGCAACACAATGACTTGGTCCCACCTCAGCTAGTTAGCGGTAAAGAGGTTGTGAATCTGAATTGAATCTTAGGACAAAAGATGAAATTTAGCCATTGTGTTAACTTTAGTATATATAAAATGAAGTTACTTGCTGATATGTTGATTAAGGGGTCCATATTACACTATTTTCTCATCTATGTTATGTTGCTTCCTCATCAAACCACAGCTAGAGTTTTGTTTCAGTCACTCATGTTTAAAGGATAAATCTTGCATAATTTCAGCCCTGGAATTGTCGATCTCTGCTAAACAAAAGGTAAATGGTAGCTGTTAACTTGAAATTTACCACTATGTGACATCACATGGTGGAACTGAGCATTTTGAGCTGTGGCGTTGTAGAGAGACTAATAATAAAGTAAGTACTCAAACATGCATGAATGAAACAAAACACAACTCCAAGGCTGTTTTTGATGAGGTAACATTATAACATAACTTAAATTTTGTGTAATATAAGACCTTCAATATGCAATGTCCTAATTCATATAAATTCCTTCCAGTGTCTCAGATGTATTAGATAAATGGTTGAATTGATTATGCAAAGATGTTACAGTTATTCGGTCAAAGCAAAGTCCTGGATTAATGGCGATTGTCTGAAAGGAAGGGCATCTGACTCATCTGACTGAAAATTAAAATCCCTTGCAACCACAGAAAAGGAAAGGTCAAAAAGACAAAAATGATTCGGGCAAATAACAATCATGGGTTACTTTCTAAAACTTCAAATACTTTCCCAATCATGAATCACACAACACCTCCTCCAGGTCTGGAAAAAGTAAAAACCACCATCATGAAAGAAAAACAGGAAATAGCAGAATAGTTGCTTTTTTGTAGTCTAACTGAATACAATAGAGTTGTTATAGTAATTTATGTTTACCATATAGTGTAATTGCTTAGGTCAAATAGCTGTTTGGATGTCAAAATTGTTCTATTTTACTGAGCAAGAGCATAAAACATCACAGAAATAGAAACTATCCTGTACCCTGCCTACAGTCCTTAGTTGTTTTATTAGACCTGAATGATTCCACCACCCACAAACCCCTAAAAAGTTCAAATCTGCATCCACTTCCTCACAGACAAAAACACTAGCGTAGCGGCCTTGCAGTGGGTCTGAGTAAACCACATCTTGTTTGCACTTCCCTGTCTGCATGTCCTACACAGTTTCACAGCCAGCAGCTCCTAAAGGGTGACGAATGCGCGCAGACAGGTGCTTAGATCAGCCAAAACGCATGAACACAGACCACCCTTTGAGCTGTCGTCCCCCCTGAGCCCCCCTCGCGGACCCCCGACCGAAAACAACACATTTTGAGACGCCGCAGCCTTTGATGTGGTGTATGTGCCTCTGGTTTATGTGAATATGAATAAAGAAACGCAGAGAGCCTCGTCTGGCTGCTCACAGTGGGGGCTATTGGCTTTGTGACAAAGCTGCCCGTGAACATGGAAACACAATGGATTTAAAGGAGAAGTAGGTGCGAACCGCAAATGGTTGGAACAAATGTGAAAAACTGCCTATGTGTAGCTTGGGAATTGTAAACTGAAAGGATTTGCATACAAGATATAATATTCACAGTAGAAAATAGAAAATATAGGTGTTAAACTGTGATAGATATATTGTTTAGTCTAGTAGTTATTCAAATGCGGTGAGAGCTTTACACATCATTGAATTTGGCTTGTAATATTTATCATATTGATTATTCACACATTTTTAGTTAATGCAGGTTTTCCTCTCTCTTCTGTTCTCTTCCATTTTATCAGGAATTACTGAAAAAAAAGTTAGGGCGAAGTGATGTGTTTAAAAAAATTCAATACCTTTTTCCTCATGTAGACTGATTATAATTTTCACTATTTACAGTAAAATTTCTTCCTCCAATGTCTGCTCAAAACTAGGGATCCTGCTTTTTCAGTTCTGATACCTATATTGATACTTTTATTTTCATTTTATATTGCCAATGCCTGATATTAACACCAATGTAGGGATGAAAAATCTCACTTATTTCCTTAAAACACAGTTAACTTATTACACAAGTGATCCAATTATGTTCTGCACTTGTTATTTATCCTTCAAATAACGTCTAAACATCTGAATATGAATAAAAGTGTGAGGTATTCTAGGCCAAAGCCGATACCTGATTCAGCTAAATTTTCATATCGGTGTCGATATTCGATACCAGCATCAGTATCGGTGCATACCAAGTCCAAACCACATAGTTTTACTGAAAAGGCCTGGCTGTGGACCTCTTGAATATTCTCTATAGTGGTTCTAAAAAAGAATCCAATGGCCAATTCCCAAATTCCCCAAAACAGTTACAGGAGGTTACAGCAACAGGCTACATTACAGTTCAGATGATTGTATTTTTGAGCATCAGAAACACCCGTAATGAATAAATGCCAGGCAAAGCCATAACATCTCCATGGAAAAAGTTGCGCAGTGCATCTTTAAGATTAACCCTAAACCACTACACTGAATTTCCTGTGTAAGATTTAAACCAGGTCTATTCAAGAACAGAACTGTTAAATCAGGAATAAAGCAGGGCTCAAATGCCAACTGAGAGCATATCCTGAAATTGTTTCTGCTTTTCCATACTCTAATTACATAGTACATAATGTTTGAACATGTTTAACAACTACTACACTGCGATAACTGTCTGCGCAAAGGCCTCAGCTCATTTATAACTTTGTGTTACATACAACGCAGCTAATTAGGCGTCTCCTTCTGACATGGTCCGGAGGAAATGTCTTTGGAAGTCTAAAAATAGCCGTATGGATGTTTGTGGATTAGGTTCAGTAGATTAGAGTGATTACACAGGCGCACATCAATATCAACAACAATTTATCTGCTGCTCAGATTAAAATATTGATGATTATGAACACGGTGCAAGAATTACAGGAGTTTGATTTAAACAGGAAAACAAGTTAAACAAGTTAAAGGTGTACTGTGCAACTTTTCTGGTAGAGGGTCCACTACATGCTTGTCTCCATGGAGATGCTACTGCTTTGCCTGGGATGTTCCATGGTATGACATTAAACACATACATCTAGGATTTATTCATCACAATTGTTTCTGTTGCTCAGATGTGAATAGGGGCTCTCCACAGATCTGAAGTGTAATGTAGTGTAGTGCTGTACCTGCTTGTCTCCCTCATTGGAGATATGTTCTAATCTAATCTATACTACGGAACATTCTAGACAAAGCAATAACGCTTCCATGGAAACAAGCAGGTGGCAGACCCTCTACTAGAAATGTTACGTGGTACACCTTTAAGTATTTTAAATGTGAGATGTAAGTATTTTGGTGGAGGGTCCATCACTTGCTTGTCTGTTATTGTTGTACCTGGAATGTTTCAAAGTGTGGCATTAACTCTCTTGTTCTCTCCATGACTGCAGATGATGTTTTGTTCAGTCTTTATGGAACAATCCAGGCACAGCAACACCTCCATGGAGATTAGAAGGTTTTGGACCCTCCACGTAAATGCTAACATATTGCACTTGAAATATTCTAATGGTAACATATTACTGTATGTGCAGATCTGAATTATCTATCTTAGTTTAGTCTTGGTTAGACCTATGTTTTAGATATAGAACTTTTGTTGTAGTGATTTTTTTCCCTATAGTTTCTAATTGCATTAAGTAATTTTTCTAGAACAACATCATTTAATAATCTGTTTCTATGATATCTACAAAAGACGGGGAGCATTCCTATGTTCCCACAGCCTTATGGTCCCTAATTTTTTCCCCCCAAAATTAGGCCCTATGTTCCCACATTTCCTTTATCATTAATTTGCGTCAGATTTTATCCCCGTTTCTCCCAATTTGGTAGTCAATTACACTTGACCTACACCCAACCTATTAACCAGCAGCAGTAGACTACAGATGTAATGTGAAGGTCATGGTGCAAAGGACTCTACGTTGAAATGACTCATCCCTTTAACTGCGGTATAAAAATAAAAATGACTTGGCTTTCATTTTGAGAAAAATCTTAAAAATTAAAAAAAAAAAATCGTAGAAATGAGGGAACATAGGGCTGCCCCCAAAAGATGTTAGCATAATAGCTTAACTTGAGCTCTAGCATTTAGAATACTAATCCTGCGTTCTCTTAATAAAGATGAGCCAGCAGACTATTTCCTAAGGTGAATCTGTGCAGGAGTTCTCATCTCAGTGAGTGGCCTGGCGCTCATATGAACTGTGTGTCCCTGGTCCCACTCACATTAATGATGAGTGTCAGCGGCTCTCCGGGGTGGTGTTTAATCAGCTTCTCCTTGTTGGCTGTGAAGAACTGTGGGTCCTCCACGTACTCCAACAGGAAGTGACCTTTAAGAACATCACTCTCCTCTTCCTCCTCTTCCTCGTCCTCCTCGTCCGCCCCCTCACCGCTGTCAGACGAAGCAGGACTGTCCCCTGTGTAGAGCACTCCGTTCAGGTAGAACTGCACAGAGGTCTGCTGGGACTGGATCGCGGCCGGTGATGGGCAGGTGATCAGGGAGGTAGAGAGCACTGCGCATAACTGAAAGAGCAGTTCACTCATATTAGATGTGAATAGCCCAAACTGGACTCACATGAGCAAAATACTTTTCCATGTATGTTGAGTAGTACTACTTGGTTAAACACAAAAGTCTATTTAGCATAATAATGGGGAAATAATAATGGGAAATTTAAAGGTGCAATATGTAACTTTTCTGGTGAAGAGTTCTCCACATGCTTGTCTCCATGATGATGCTTATTAAGCTTTACCCATAATGGAATAAATGCTATATAGATGTTTAAAGCCATGCTGCAGAATAGACCAAGCATAGCAATAACATATCCATATATATATGAGTGGACATAGCTAAAGCACTAGTCGCCACGTGCCAAATAGGAAGTGCGCCAGGAGGCTCTTCCGGCTCCTTCTGACCCTTGCTCCAATTGACTTACATTGGGATCTTGTTGTCCCTCTCTCCGTACCTGCAGCAGTGAGCCTCGTCATTTTGGTCTTAAAATGTTCAAATTAACCCACAACACATGATCCTGAATTTTTTATTTTTTTTTGCACTATTTTGTCCATCAAAATATCATATTCATAACACAGAGCCTGGCTCCAGATTCACTTCCGTAGCATCGCGAGCCTCATTTAAGCGGCGCTGAACGGTATGGGTGATGTCACATTCGCTTAATCCACTTCTATTATACAGTCTATGATTATCCCCCAGAAAAGATACATAGTACACCTTTAAACATATTTACCATTTACAACCAGAACTATAGATCAGGTCTACACAGTTTATTCTTTTAGTTTGGCTGTATTGTTCAATCTTAACTTTCAAACATAGCCTGCATCATAGTCAAAGCTACTGTTGTTTAGATTAGATGACAAAATATTTACTTGTAGAGGTAAGTCTAAAAAAAGTGTGAAAAGATTCAGACTTTAAACCCTGTCTTGCTCAGAAGTTTAATGTCGTCAAGGCATTTTCCCCACTGACTTGGTGTAATAATCCACTATAATGAAAAAAACGAATTATGTGAAACTGGTCTGTTCTTTCAAACAGTGTATAAAATTCGACAGTTCCCCTTTACCATTGAAATAATTACTCACTGATGGTCCAATGCCCAGCACCTGCATGGAGACACTCTGCACCAGATCAAACCCCTGGCCTGTGACGGTGATGGTCCTGCCACCACTGGGACACATCAGAGAGATAGAGACAGTCAAATCTGCTCCAGGACTAAAATGTGACAATTGCACACACAGATATGCAAATGCTTTGGAGCACGGTGAAAGAAAGAGGAGCTGATAATAATGCAAAACAGCCTGTGCATAGAGAAAACCCTAACACATGTCATCACAAGGACTCACATACAAAAGACATGCCATAAAAAGACTGATATACTGCAGTAACAAACTACAATGGTGACCAAAAGTACTAGAACACCGTGCTGGTCTGTCTGTATCCAATTACAGATTTTATATGGTGGGCCCTTCTGCTTTCTTCAGCGTCCATTTTAGCTGTGCATTTCAATGTCAATATAATAAATTACGTTTCCAACAACATACTGTACTATTTAGGCAAGTTAAGAGCAAAGAAGGATTACAACCTTTAAAGGGCACATATTACTCTATTGTCTGATCTGTTATAATGTTGTTACCTAATCAAAAACATACCTGGAGTTGTGTTTTATTTCATTGACACATGTTTAAAGTACAAATCCTGCATAATTAGACTGAGCTCTTCTCTCAAACTGGAAACACTCTGTTCCACTTTGTAATATCACACTCTCCACTGTATTTTTAAACTCCATACACCTTCACTAGAATCATTTGGATAATTTTGGTCCTGGAATTGCCAATATCTGAACTAAAGGTAAATGGTAGCTGTTAATTTGAAATCTACCATGTCATGACATCACAAGCTGGAACAGAGCATTTTGAGCTTGTTGACAATCTGATAATGCTGGATTACTCAAACATGTGTGAATGAAACAAAACAACTCCAGGTTTTTGATGAGGTAACAACTTTATAGCATGACTTAAAAGCTCACAAGCCTTGAATGATCTCACTAGTGCAGTTATTTGTGAGAGGGCATCCAGCATAAAATGGGTACCTGAGGTAGCTCTTGGTGGGGTGGATGGCACTGATGATGGGGTTCTTCTCATAGGTGTACATGGTGCTGACCCTCTCCAACTGACAGGGGACATTCTCAAACTCCACACACACCAGAGCTGAGTCTGTGTGTGGCTGCAGAGCTGGAGGCATGGTGCACTCAATGGTATCATCTGTTTTCCTGCAAAAAGGAATAAACATCTCAGCCACAAATCTTGTGATGTCTGGAAGTGCTAAACGCTAGTGTGCCAACAGTCTTTGAACAGTCTGCCAGTTTTATGTTTCAACAGGTCCAGTAATCACAGACATATTACACATGGACCAAGTCATAATGGCATTGCATTTGACATCCTATCTGCTGTTTGTACTAAATCTTTAGTTTGATGGGACAATCACACACTACAAGCCTTTACAATCAAATAAAAATAGCCGAACTTCAAATAAAGATTATTTATTATCAGTTCATAATGGGCTCACTGCGTGATGATGCACTCCTCTGTGTTGTTGACAGTGACTCGAACTTCAGAGCCGATGTCCAGATGTTCTCCTCTAATGGTCACTCTGGTACCCCCAGCTCGAGAGCCCTTCACTGGGTACATGGATAGCAGCTTTGGGGCCTGGAAGTACACAAAACACATTATACTCAAATCATACATGACAGGGACCAAACTTAAGTTATTCTATGTTTTTTCTTGGCACAAAATGAAATTGTTTGAGGTTTTTCGTAACTTAGATTGGCTCCGACAGTTGCTGACTACAACAGTAAATTAGTGAAGAAAACTGTGAAGACGGCCCACGCTGCAGTATGGTGAAGCGTTACTGAAGCCAACTGGTCTATGGGCCAGAGTGAGGAGGACAGCTGAGTTACATTACATACATGTTACAGGGTCATAGAATATTGTCTATACTGAAATATAGTGCTTCTCAGTATGTGGTACGGGTTCTGGTAATACACAGGCTTCAAGGAATCTTTTGTAGTTAAATGTACTGCTTAGTCCTCTGCTTAATCCTGGTAATCCATAGAGTATTCATGTATGTTTGTGGAGGGCCCTGTGTCCCCTGTGGCCCGATTATGTCATGAGCTCTGAGGACCAAAGGCTGCATCATCATAATTTTTCAACACTAAAACAACAATGAAGAATGAGACCTATTTTGGGTTTGCTTGGAGTCCTTCCTATTTGTGAAATCTGGTCCTGAATTAAGATTTAAAATAAGCACATGGTACAATAATGAAAAGAGAGCAGAGGCACGTGGTATATATGTTGAACAGAGACCAATAATTGTCTCCTCAGTATTAGGCAGAGTTCAGTATCGTGGGTTTGCACATGTGTGAGCAATCATGCCATACTTTATATCAGCCAACCTCACCATCAGAACTCACATCAGCAAGTTCACTGACCTGGTCTGCGTACTCATGGATACAAAAGTAGTAGTGTATAGCCATATTCAGAAAAATTTTCTTGCTTCATTGAAGGGCCTATATTACGCTATTTTCTGATCTCTGTTATAATATTGTATCCTCATCAAAAACTTGTAATTTGTTTCATTCACACGTTTAACACATAACCCTGCATATTTATAGAGTCCATCCATCAAATAGAAAACACTCTGTTCCACATTGTGATGTCATGTGGTAATACAGGAAGTTCTCTGCTGTGTTTTTAAACTCACTAGAATCATTTGGATGATTTCAGCCCAAATACTGAAGAGTTATTCAAATATATGTAATGAAATGTAACTCTGGATATGTTTTTGATGAGATAACAACATTCTAACAAACCTTAAAACTCACAAGTAGCTTGTTTTTCCTTTGACATTACTTATTTTAGTTGTGATTTAGTCCTGAGTTGTTGTTCTTCTGTTTAGTCAATTAAACATGACAGATGATTGTTGGAGAGCCAAATATTTTCAGTGGGGGTGCTTTGAGAACAACTGCACAAACACACCCTAACACTGCCCCCTAAGGTGCCGATGAAGATCACTATTCGTCTTGGTAGCTCTTGGCATCAGCATTCTTGGCCCTGCCCTGGTTCTCTACCCCAGCCTCCTCCAGGGAAAGCCCTTATCCGTACTGACAGGATCCACTTCCTCCGAGGAGATGGGCCATTGTGTGTGGCTGTGAGGAGGCAGATGTTTCCGGACCATGGCTCAAGGAAGGAGGTGCAATAAAGAGAGCACATATCCTGTCTACAAATCTATTTTCTACAAGTATTTTCCCATTCAAGAGAACAACACGCTTACTATAGCTCTTATAGAGCACATATATTCAGTGGTGGGAAGTAACTGAATACATGCACCAAAAATACAGATTCTGAATACTAATTTTGAGTAGCTGTGTTCCGGTACAGTTACTTTTTCATTTGGGGTTTTCAGAATACAGTTACTATTTTCCATTAATTAAAAGGAATATATGGCAGTATTTAATCATGCAATTTTGGTTTTGACCTGCACAATATTAGTGAGAAAAAAAAACAACATGTGTGCATGTGTGATTTTTCATCTCTAATTGGACATAAATTAATGGATGACAACAGTGTGTCAAAAATAAACCTCTTTGTAATTCTATGTCATCATTTTTACACTATGATATAACACAACTTGGTGTAAAAGTATTCCAAGTGTTCAGAATGCAGTACTCTCATTGGACCATGTATCAGAATACATAACAAAGTACATTTTAATCTGGGTATTCATATTCTGTAACTAAATGCATTTTCAAAGTATTCTTCCCATCACTGCATATGTTTTCGATCTCACTAACACCAGTGTATAATTCATAGTGAAACACGTTTGAAGCTTCTAAATAGAATTCAAGATGGTTTCCTCCAATCCATGTCAAAAAGCTGCTTAAAGTTCACTTTTAACAGGATCTTTCACTGTACAGATCTCAAAGGTGGATATGTATGTATGCCCGCGAGGGGTTCCCACATCAGCCCAGCACTGTTTGTGTTGCTCTTGATTCACTTTTATCCTTCACTATCGGCGCTGGTTTGGAGATTGGGGTGATTTCTCAGAGGAATGACTCAGAACGTCTGCAGATCCTCTCTCTCTCTCTCAAAAGCAGCTGACATGATGGGCCTCTCCAGTATTGCCTTATGAACAACCTATTGTCAACAAAGTCACTGTATCAAAGCACTTTTTATGTGGGTATTTCCAGCGCTGCATTCTCTTAATCCAATGGGAGACTGTCTGGGTCAGGGTCAATTAGCACACAAGTGGCCAGCCGAGCTAGCCAAGACAACAGAAGAATTCACAGTAGTCTTATTGTCTTCTATCAGACACAGATTCTGGACTGCTATAAAACTCGCCCGAACCCTGGTACTGGTTTAGTATTTGTTTTGTCTCAGCTTAACCTGCACTGTGTAACTTTTCTGGTGGAGGGTTCGCCATCTGCTTGTTTCATGGTGATGTCAGTGTTCAACAGTATGGCATTAGGCCAACAAATATATCTTGTATTTATTTATTTATTGGTGTTTTTATTTTCTCAAAACTGAACTGTGACAAGTAACTTACCTGGTGATGTGCCCTGCTTGTCTCCATGGAGATTGTAAATTAAATGCCATATTGTAGAATGTTCCATGAAAAAACAATAACATCTGCATAGAGTCAAGCAGGTGGTGGACCATCTACCAGAAAAGTTGCATAGTGCACCTTAAAGGCCCTGATTCAGACAAGGAGGATTAATTTATCTATTACTTAGTCCTGGACAGGGGTGTAGTGGACAGGGGTACGCCATCCACCCACTTCTCCTGACGAGAGATATAAAAGAATAACAAATATAAAATAGCTAAAACTTAAATGTCAAACCAGAGCTATTGGAAATGGTGAAAACAACCTGCATAGGCTCATGATATCTGCACTACTGTCCTACAGTGACCTGACACATGAGGGGACCAGGTCTAAACCAGAACTGAACCAGGACTAAACCAGAAAGACTAAACCAAGACTGAACCAGGGCTAAACCAGGTCTAAACCAGAACTGAACCAGAATTGAACTAGGACTGAACCAGGACTGAACCAGGACTGAGTGTCGGGGCAAGCCCTGTGTAGACCGTCGAGTGACTGCAGGTGAAAGGACCGGCGCAAAGCTCCAAGCCTCACGGGGCTAAGAGCAGCTGTTGCCTGATCGCGCATTGCAGACACCCTGCTCCCTGAGCTCGAGGTTCTCTCTCTATTTCAAGTCCAAGATTAGTCCTGGTTAAGTCCTGCTTCAGTCCTGGTTCAGTCCTGGTTCAGTTCTGATTTAGTCCTGGTTTAGACATGGTGTATTCCTGGTTCAGTCCTGGTTCAGTTCTGATTTAGTCCTGGTTTAGACATGGTGTATTCCTGGTTCAGTCCTGGTTCAGTTCTGGTTTAGTCCATCACATTGATGATGTCACGAATCACCCCCACTTGAAAAATCCCCACTACACCACTGGTGTCTAGATTAATTAAACCTTGCTTAGTTAAGTCTGTCCTGTTTTTTGGTTAAGACTTCCCTGGTTTATTGGTTTACTCACGTATAGCCGAGTCGTCATCATCTTCTGTGGTTATGTTTTGGTCTAGTTCTGCTATTTTATTGGCTTTAATGGAACCTAGTATATTAGCCTGACATATTTGCGGTCTTGAGTTTATTTTTATTCACCCCTTTTACTTAAATATGAATGTTCCAGTTCAGAAAACCAAAATACCACAGATTATTGTTGTTATCTTAGTATTAAACCCACCAATCACACACTACTTATTTTTCTAATACTGTGCAGCCCCAGCACCAAACTCCTTTTTTTTTTTTTTTACCAGCGAGCGCCTAACACTCAAACACAGGCCATATTTGTTTTTGCTGGCAGTGGAATGACATCAGTGCTGAGTTTCATTGCACATGTCTGTTTGAAGATTCCCACACACTTTGCATACCCCAGAATCATAAAATGCATCTGTTAGCACTCAAGCCACACCGCCGGGGAAGGAGGTCCCAGTGGGGAACAGGAACAAGAGAGAAAAGGAGGAATGTAGAGGAGAGAGACGACGGGGGGACAAAAGACAGAGAGATAAATGTCTTCAGGATACTTACTAGATATGAGAAGGTCTCCCTGGAGGTCCCCACCTTGCTCTGGTTCACCTCGACTTGGACAAAATCTGTCATCTCACCAGCTGATGAGTTTGTGACACACACCAGTCTGAGGAAAGAAAAGAGGAACATGAGAACTGTCATTAGTAACGCAATATCTGAGGAGCATATAACAATTGACCAAGCAATGACAATAAACTCATAGATAATAACAAACTTTGGAACATGGAGATGGATCTGCTTTGTGCCATAATGTGGAATATTATAGTCAAAACAAGACAGAACAACATTTCTATGGAGACAAGCAGGCAGTCGCTCTTTTTTTTTTTTTTTAGGTTTTATAATGCAATAAAAACATTAAAAAAGGTAAATTAAGGATGCACTAATACTGATATTGGTATTGAATACGGATATAACGATATCCAATTCTCTCGGTACGATATTATCGCGATATGCATCTCACGGTACAATGTTTATTAGTGAATCATGGGACATGTAGTTCCCAATGTTTATTAGCTGTTGCTACTATAAGGCAAGGTATTAAAGCAGAGGAATTTGTGATCCTTGTGAGACTTCTGATGATACGATATCACGATATTTCGGCTATTGTTACATCCCTAGTATTGAATACTGGCGAGAATACAGACAAATTCACTGAATCAGTGACTTACGAAATGAATAACAGCTACATAACACATGTGGATCCATTTTATCTTATTTTATTTTCGTTTTACAGATATAAATGCTGTTTTCAGTCTCTCCACTGGTATCCATAGCCATACTAAGGATATAGTATTGGAATCGGTATTGGAACCAAAAAAGCTGGATCGGTATATCCCTAAAAACAACATGCTTTTATTTTAGTCTATTTATTGGCTAAAATGACACGTAATAAGGATTTAATTAAAATGGTATTGCAGGTTAAAAACAACGTCAAATGTCTACTGTTATCACTACACCACAGATGGAAAAGATTACGAGTAATAATGAAAAGCAAAATTGTAGATTCTGTGTCATGTAAAGATTCCCCAGATCGTTCAGGAGTCAAGTTCACATCTGTAACCATCTCGTAGATACCACAGTTTTAAGGGATAACACGCATTTCCAAGTCAACTTTCGGTATTGCCTTATTACTGTCACCAGTGAATAAATCCAGACTTACACCTGTTCTAAATATATTTGCCATTCTTCTCTGGACCCATATTGGTTGAGGCTCCCTGTTTGAACAAAGAAGAAATGATGAAATAGTATGTAAAGACATTCTCCACTACAATGGTCCCTTTGATTATACGTGTGAAGTGTAATGTATTTGGAGTGCGTGAAGAATAATTTCAATTTTCACATACATTTACACATACTTTCAAGTTGCATTGTTTTCACCAAAGAAAAATATTTGTGTTTTATGTTCTTGGATATTTTGAAGGTTGAACTAAAGAAAGAGTGTACATTCTATAGCTGATAACACAACCTCTAACACGCCAAGTCTTATTATGAAACCTGAGTGAGCTACAAGCCACACTTTGAGCTAACCCCATGCTTGGATAAATGAAGTGGACATTAGGAAAAGTATCTCACATAAAGCATATTAATAAATGGAGATTCCAGAAGGAAGCTTTTTGGTCAGAGAAAAATATTGACAATAAACACTACTGAAACTATCAGTGAGTTTCAGAATGGTGAAAAAATATATTATATATTTTCAACTGTACAGCAACTCACGCTTTATGTAATAAATATCCTTCTGTCATGCCAATTACTACTTAATCTTTGCACTGTTTCTACACACAAGCTGAGATATATTTGTATTACTATATTTCTAAATTGTATTTTTACTTGTACGTATATATATATATATATATATATATATATATATATAATTACCATATTTTTCGGACTATAAGTTGTACTTTTTTCATGGTTTGGGTGGTTCTGCAAGTTATACTCTGGTACAACTTATATATTAAATTTTTCACAATGACAGCCGTGAGAGGCTCGTGTCTTGTGTTCCAGTATCTACTGCTAATATTACTCCTGTACCACTGTCACTCTACTGTGCATGTCTCCTGCAGAAAGAGCAGCTGTCCTGCTGCAAGTAGCAAAATATTCAGCCAAAAACGGTAATCGAGCAGCAGAAAGAAAGTTTGGAGTGAGCGAGAAACTTGTGAGGGACTGGCGGAAAGCGGTGATGGAGAACACAGCGTCACAACAACCGGGAGGATGCACCATACAACTTTACTGGAAGTCCTTGGATAGATCGACTGGACTTCAGTGACAACCAAAACCATCCTGTCGGGATTCAGAAAGGCCGGAATAATTCTAACTGAAACTGATGCTGAGTCTGATGAAAGCTACACAGAAGAGTAAGAGGCACTCCGTTAACCTCCAAAGGTCACAAAGATGCTCAGAAGTGACACCAAGGATGAAGAATTCAATGGATTTGGTGATTTGGAGTGAGATCAAGTGTTTGGTAAACTTGTTATTGTTCTGTTGTGTATGCTATATTTATCTGAATAACTGTTCATATGTGACGTTAACAACCTGTTGTTCTCTATTCTATTGTTATTACTAGAACTTCACTTTCAAGATGAAATGTCAATTCCTGGTCTCTGATTTTATATAATAAATTTCCCCAAAAAGGTGTGACTTATAGTCCAGTGCAACTTGTATATGTTTTTTTCTTCTTCATTATGTGTTTTTTGGCTGGAGTGACTTATAGTCCAAAATATCATATGCCTTATTTGACACCAGTGTCTTGCTATTTTTGCTGCTTATTTTGAATGTATTTAGCCATTTATATTGTTGCTTTTTGTTATTATAATATTGTGATGTGTGAGCTACTGTGTCCAAATAATTTCCCTTGTGGATCAATAAAGTTTATCTAAGTCTAAGTTGTGAATAGAGAAAAATGCTGCATATAACAGAAAACTGAAACTCATGCATAATTAGTCATTTGAAATTTTCATCTATAAAATGCCAGCCCTCCCTATGTGATGGGCGGAGCAAACTCATCCTCCTCCAGACTGCTAAACAAAGACTCCTAATTAATCATAGGGAATTCTTTTTATAAGCTAATTCATCACAGCGTATTACATTTACATCTTGGATCCAATAAAGGGCGACACCAGATATTAGGAGATGTAAAGTTCAAAGGGCCTCACACCAGCTGCGATTGGGCACAGAGGAGATTAGGCTGTGCTCTCACCTCAGGCTCTTATTAAGACTCCTGTCATCGGTGCACGGCATGGCGGTCTATGGGGAACGTCCCACTATAATGATACAGGGCTGAGACAAAGGAGGAGAGAGAGATCTACTGTTCAGGGGTACCAGAGGGGCTGAACAACCTTTATCACATGATCCACGTGCAGCTCCACACCTCGGCTTTATTTAGTCAGGTGTTGGGTTCCACATTCTCTGCCGGCGATACTGTGATTGACAGAGGGGATTGTGGGAGAATTTACATAAGCATAGGAGCCCGGTTTTAATGTGGGAGGAGGCGGTGATAAGGAGAGCTGGAGGGAGATGCTGTGTTTGACTGGAGGTCAGTGAGAGACCACCTATGTAACTGTGGTGTGTATTTTAATTATATGCTTAGACTGAAATTAGCTTTGCAGGGAGGGAGATGGGAGAAGTATTGTTACCATAGAATAATAACACTTGAGTAGACTCTGTTGCAGTCACATTTGATCAGATCCCAAGCATGCGGTTACTGTAATATTATTAAAACTGGGGATTTATTAGAATTTTGATCAAGATCGAGATTCAGTCATTTCTAATTGTTAATGATATTATTTTGTACTAAATGGCAAAAAATAAATTAAAAAAAAGTCTATATTGTTTATTTCAGGAGGTCTAAAACATATTTAACATCATTTTATTTAAGATTTTACTAAACTTCTTATCTAGTCATTTGTAGTTTTGTAATTTTGGTGAAAGTAATCATTTTACTTCCTTGTCAGACATGGGCAGCAGATGTGACATATATTGTGGTATGTTAAGAAGGGCCAAAAGTGTATAAGATACACAATCAAAGTTTAAAACATCAAACATGTCTTCCTTGTGCATAAATTGTTGATGACAGTTGACAGCTAATGACATAGGAAGAGGTATTCTGTTTTAGAAATCACAGCTATTTCCTGTATTTTACAACTACGTACTTTTTTCAACTGCTGTAAAATGATTATACATAATTACAACAAGTACTACCCCACCAAACCAGGTAATAATAAAAAAGACTATATTAATCTATCAAGTGCACTTTAATATTGAAAGCAGGTTTATTTGTAATTGCTAAGATAAAAATACAACTGATTTTAAAATGATCAAAATGAGAAAAAAACAAAAAACAAAAATGCGGCTCAGTCCTACAAATAACTAGCCTGTTTCATCAGCCGGATTCACTTTGTGGAAACGATGTGACCTCGCAGCATTAGGATTCGATTGCTCGATGGTATGGAAATACATTTTTTATTTAACCAATCACTGCTGTTTGGTGACATATGTAATGCACCAGAACGCTCAGTGGTGTCCAAGTAATTGCCTGCACAACAGCAAACAAAGCAGAGAGTGAACATGTCTGTCAAAGATCATTGCCATTTCTGCAAGATGAACTTGCAAATTAAATAAAAAATGTGAAGTTTGTATTTGACAAAGGAAGTTCAAAGGAGAATAGTGTATGCAGTCTGCTATCGCAACTCGGGTCAATTCAGCTCTTCGATGATTGGCCGGTGCGCAGTCTACAACTTCCGGGGTTTTTGCAAACCGTCTAGTGTATTCCGATTCCTGACCTAGTCGCTGGAGAGAAATGAAATGGAGCGGAGGCACTAGGTGGTGCCAGCCTGGCTAACAAATAACCCTATGTCAGTCACAATTTACTCTTTGCACTGCCGTATATAGCTGAGATATATTTGTATTACGATATTTCTATATATTTATTATTATTATTTTTACTTGTACAGTTACATGTATATAATTATGCCTTATTTGACACCAGTTTCTTGCCATGTCTTTCTGTCCCAGTATTGCACAATGAATCCAACTGGAGCACAACTTTAATTTAAAATAGAAACAAGTGCTACAAAGCTGTGATTAAACCTGTCTGTGGATAGCAGT